CTATCCTTCTCTTCAACATGTCCGCCACTTCTGCCCTCCTTCCCTTCATTGTCCCAACGTTCACTGTGCCTACCCGAAGGGTGACACTTCCACCAACATTCGATCCGGAGATTCTTCGCACCCCCTGCCCACTGAAGGGCTGCCGGGAACTGGGGGCCATGTCTTCTTTTCCAAAGTTCATGAATTTTGTTGGAGCAAAAGTTTTACGGTAGGATGCCCTTCCTTACACCAACCCCTATTAGTCGTCTTTTACGACACGCAGAGGATACGTTGGCGCAATTCTAAGCCGGCAACCACACGGCCCGAAAAAAAAAATGTATACACACCAGATGTATGTAAAATCATTCGACTGTCACGTGTCCACTGATCAATATCTAATGAACTAAATTAATATTAACTTTAACAAATGAAATACTTTATGTTATAGTGTATCATGTAACAGAACAATAGAACTTGTCCTCGGTGATGAAAGGCCGATTTAAAATTTGCGGTAAAAATTTTCTCCTATGCCTATAAAGTAGAGGCATAATGTACATGAAAATGCAAGCAACAAGCAATCGCTAAATTTTGTTAATTTTTAATGATGATTGAAGGAGAAAATTTGGGGCATTCCTTAATTATCTAATTTGGAGTGTGTTCCCTATATAATCACACACTTCGAATGCGTGAAAAGAATAGATCCACTGATACATTATAGATCCATTTGATACATTACAGATCCATTAGATACAATATAGATCCATTAGATACATTCTCTCGCATTTCCATTCTTTCCATTGCTATCATTAAGACTGTGGTCTGTAGACAACAGGTAATTTAAGTGTTACATCCAGTGTTTGTATCACGGCCGTAATGTCAGTTGAATTTAGCAGATTTTACTTCTTTATAATTCATATCTCAACCAATATGGCAAATACCTTTTTGTCCTTTGACTCACATTGGAATGCTGGCAATCCACCTACAGGGCATATCAAAAAATGCTTGTCTTTGAAATCAGTTGACCTTTAGAATTTGCAACATCTAGCAGTAATTGATCCCAAAGACTTGTAAAAGCAACTAAAAACAGTAAGACATACGCGAAATGTGGTTGATGCACATTAGGGATGAATAAGCTGATTTCAAAGATGAGCAGTTTTTGATACAATCGGTATTGTTGCTTTCGTCTGCTCACCTGTTTCTCACGCGCTCAGAATAAGTGAAAAACAGCAAAATAAGCAAACGTCAATGAAAAGACTGCTAAATGACTAACAATACACACTCTTCGCTGATTTGTTTAGAGTTTGAAAGCATCGTACATGAGAACAATAAAGTGTTATTTAACTTTTTGTTTCCACTCAGCCATTGGCAAATAAAGAATTTCAACAAAAATGTTATCTTAGAATCCTAAACAAGACTATGGTATAATCATAAAGGCTTTTATAGAAATAGCATGACTTCATAAGACATCTCTAGAGTTGCTATATTTGCTCATTCCTCTCGTCATGACCTTGTAAAAACTGTACGTATTATCTAAAAATGAATTTAGTTTTCTTGTTAAAATATTATCTTCTTATTCACTTACATTCATTCTTGGAATAATTAGTATCTCATACTTACTAATTATTCCAAGAATGGTTCTTACGTCAGATAACAAATAACAAATACGGCTAACCTGACGTTTACTCCTCATTTGACTCTGAAGATGACTACCGCTAAGGTTGTCTAAACGTCAGTCAACAACAACAAAAACAGTCCTTCTCAGGACTATACCAACCTGGACGATCTACATTTACAAACATTTAATGAGTCAAGTCAAAGTACATTAAATGTTTAAAGTACATCATGCTATGATGATCTAATTTAAGACTCTTATCTGCTCAAGGGTACTTTAAGAAACTGTGGAAATATGACGATCAAGTTATTTTTATACATGTTTACAATATTCCTTTAATGTCAACTCCAACAGCGAGATGTAAGTTTGTTTTTCAATCATTAATATTTGTATGTATTTGCAACCATTCCAAGAAATTTCCATACTCAATATTTCTCGACCGAAATGAGCAAGTATTTACTATGAACCAAAAATCAAAAATTAGTCAAATTTATTGTACTTAGTTGGTTATTCAGTGGCCCTACCGGAGTGGGAGGGTGTTCATAAATCAGTGGATAAAGAAGTGCTCGAGAGAATCAGTGAATTCGAGGAATTGTGCAGTTCTAAAAACGTAAGGAAAAACGAACGAACAGGCAGAATCTTGATAAAAAAATCGATCATTATACAAAAACCAAAATTTATATGACACGAATGAAGTTATGTTTGGCTAACGTTTGTTTCCTGAATAAGAATCAAGTACTTTTACTGCACAAATGACATGGGAATAGCTTTGGCTTTATTCATGTTTAAACTTTATATTACCGAAATTTCTTTTTTAAAATGATGATATGGTAAAAATTTAATCAAAGCACAAATAAAAATTTTGTCTTATATCTATAGCTAAGTTATCTTAATGGCATACTGTAGATTTATGTTACAATAGTAAGCTTGTTTAACTCTTGCTACCTTTGTATTATTGTTTTAATTCCTTGATGTATAGCTGAGATTCAAGACAATCTACAAAACGGGAGAAGCCGGCGTTGTGATATGTGAACAAGCTAATAAAGAAAATGTAAATTTCATTATCATGGGCTCACGTGGTTTGGGAAAGATTGCACGTGTACTTATTGGAAGTGTAAGCAGACACGTCATCCTACACAGCGGTCTTCCAGTGTTGGTCATACCACCGAGAACAGAGGAAAACTAATCACGAGCTTTTATGATATAAGTATAGTGTTTTGGTAATAGTGACACTTACATAAAGTATCAATTAATGATTTATGAAAGAAGAAATTATTAACTGATTAATCAACTAATTGGTGATTCTTCATGTTACCAATTAATATATATTTAATATGGCGGAAGGTGAAGAGATATTATAAGCTTACAATATGCATTTCATGATCAATAACATATCTATAACTATAAGTAGTTAAAGCTACAAAGATTGTTAGACAGAGATTGTTGTAGAAAGATATTGAAAAAGTGTAAATTACGTCTTGCTTTATGTATACAGTTTATTTATCATTTTTATCAAGTTATCCATCTTTTTGTGTTAACCATTTAAGATTGAAAATACTACATGCAAACGACTATCTATAAAAAATGAAAACGATTATCATTTTAATCAAACTAGAATCTATATGGTTTTTCTCTGTTATATTACGTCATAAGATGATTTATTCAAGTGACATGATTTATCTACAACGAAAATCTCAAAATTCAGCACATGCCATAGTTCCAACTACGTTTGCAAGTTTTGCCCAACGTTTATAACTTCTAGACTTCAGACCTTTTACACCAGTGGTTAAAATTTCTTTACATAAAGATGATATTTTTGGTGATGATTCTTTCCTAATAAATGAATCAAAACATAGCTCTAGCTCTAATTTTTGTGTTCAATGTTGCGAACTGCAAGAGGAAAAAATGAATTGAAATAAGTTAAAAATAAAAGTTGCATTGTTATGCAAACTATAGAAAAGTCTGTTGGAAAGCAAAACCCAGGGTAAAACCATGCAGCGTTTGAACAGTTGAATTGAAAGTTGAATGTGAAATGATCAACTTACATTTTCTTTTTTTGTCTTTTTTCCTTTTTCTGAAAATAGAAAATGTGTATATAATCGCCGGACTAATAAGATAATAATCGAAATTAATCTTTATGTAAATATTGTAGTTAATATACCTACACAAAGGGAAGGATAACTTCTTTGACTTTGAGCAAATGAGTAGGCAGTTTTATTTGCAGTAATTATAATGTAAATCTTAGATGTAATGAGTTTTTCTCAATTTGCTCCAATAAAAAAAATTTATTTAATTTATCGACTAGAATGTTCCAATAAACCATATTTAATTTATCAACTAGAATGTTCCAATTCTAATTCGATAAACGGGGATTTTATGATGGATTAATTTTATGCCGCAGGAAATTTTTTGACAACGGGGATGCCCCGATGCCTTTCAATTTTGAAATTTAATTATTTCTGGCAAATTTAACCAGCTTGTATATCTATTTTACATTTTGAAGATTGAAAGCCTTCGACATCATTGTATTTTATATTTTGTATGGCTTTAATGGTTATGGACAAATGAAAAGAGAAAAAATCCACGAATAATCTGCTGGCTGAGCCTCGATAAAAACGTCTATTTAGCTACAAATCGTAGAACTTACCGCAGCAGAAGTAATTGTCAGCTCGTGGACAATAAAACAAAGAAAAACCAATATTAAAAATATCTTTCTTGTCATGATGAATTTTTACTGTAGACGCTAAAATGATAACCTCCAATCTGAATACGTTCTATTTGAATTGCTGTAATTTACTCTTTCCCTTGACATCTCTGGTAACGAAACGTAATGTAATGTGATTGGCTTAACTTAGTATAACGTGGATTGTTCCATGACGTCATTGAAACTTGCAGTGTTACAAAAGGATTTCCCCTCGAGATCTGGGAATTTTGTCTGCTTATGCCATAAATGTTTTTTTAAGTTTCTATTTTACAATCTTGATCACACACGGTACGAGCTTAGAAAGAGGCGATTTGGAGTAAATCTTTTGATACAGTCAAACTGTGATTTACCAGTTAATTAAACAACTTTCAAAAGTTTGAAAATACCATAGCAATAATCTTGCTGGTTTAAAATTTCTAAAGAATATTTTGGAGCCAAATTTTACTGATATTTTACGAATATGATTCGCAGATGGTATATTTATATACAAACATGTGCAATATTAGAAGTTCACTCACATTTCTAAATCATGATCTTAACATCCATTAAAAAGTATCGCATAAAAAGTCACCCAGTACGTCTCCAAATTTTGCCCAGCTGTCATATCCGTACCAACGAAGTCCTTCCATGCCCAAGTCTTTGCCTTTCTTGCAGAATGTATTTTTATGATGAGCGTTCTTCCTAAACAGTTCACATCTTTATAAGTGACAAATACTTATACATTAGGTATGATGGGAAGGTCATTCGCTTGTACAAGGAGCAAGGAAAACAATTTGGTTTTGAGGAAATTAAATTTGATGGCTAAAAATTCAACAAAAGAAAAAAAACAATTGGGACATTTCTGATTTTCTTGGTAATAGTCTTTAATCAGACACTACTGTTGAATTATTCAGCTAAAACGATGTAAGTATTAGCTCATTTTTGCATATCAGTATACATCTCTCTTGAAGTTCACTTCCTTTAATCTTGACAGCATGAAATCAATAAACATTCACAAATCAACTTACTGATTTCTTTGTCCTTTAGACTTTTTCTATATAAAAAACGAGGATTATTTATGCTAACAATTAAAAATTGATTTTAATTTAAGACAGACAAATTTTGCAATGTGAATTCAATTGTGGACGCAATACATGGCTTGTCTGAAAGTAAAATGAAAATAACATTAATATATCGAGCATCCACGCAAATTGATTATGGATGCATGAATGCAGATTCACAAAATAACTAAAATTTAAGTCACATAGAAACATTAGAACTGTGAACATGTCATAAAATTGACCATAATATGATGTAGCTATTCGAACAATCGAACACTCAATGTTGGAGAAACATTTTGCAAAACATGTGTATTGTATTTGTAAAATCATACGACTTACCGTCGAAACAACAGTTAGTTGATTAAAGATAAAAAAAAGAAAAATGAAGCTGAAAAATATTTTGCTTCTTGAATGCTTCATGTTGAGCTTGAAAAGTCAAAGCGCAGGAATTCCAGCTAGCCACTATTGAATTCTTGGTACTCTAAGGCAATTCTGTGAACCTTCTATTGTTAAAGACAGCTTAGGCTGTTATGATTGGCTAAATGACGTATTATAATTGTAATCTAAGGCCCGTTTCAAACGGCGTGTATTTCATGTGCCGAACCTAATTTAGAGTATTTTGCACATGAGAAGCACGTCGTTTGAAACGGGCCTAAGCTATATTTAAATCGACGACTAAGCAATATCATAAAATGCTGTTTCCATACAACGTATGTTAGTTTCCCAAGCAAAACAATTTTTATTTTCAATCTTGTTTGCAGTAAAAAGAACCACGCAAACGTCATGTCGGTAATTTTTAAAGTTTATCATAGATTTTAAAATAAAGCTAACAAAATATAGGCATTGTAAATTAATGATTAACATGTTTTTAATCTTTCTAATGACAACGTGATGTTTGAATGATTAGCAATGTGATTAACTCTCTTATTCTTCTTCGAATGCAATGTCATATTATGGGTTACCAAACCACCAACCTAACCCTTTTGCACCGATGGATTGAAGTATGGCAACTAAACTAATAGCTGGAACTCCACCGCCGTAGTAAGTGGCCGTACAAGATTTTAATTTTGCTGCAAGCGACAAAGCATCATTTCCACTGCTTGTAAAACCCATCTTATTTACAAACACAGCACCATTTGGACAGACTATAAAATCTATTTTACGACCGCTGTTGTCTGTTGCCTATAAAAAGGGACTTCAACCATTAAAAAGCTAAATTTAGGAATATGTAAATGTGGATAGCACTAAACACTTACCGCTGTTGAAGTTCTCAAAGTTGAAATGAGACCAAGGTACATGAACAGAATAGCAATTTTCTTATTTGACTTAAAATTCATCCTTATCACACAATGATGATGTCCAAGAAACAATAAAACTTGTCCTCGTGATGAAAGGCCGATTTTAAATTTGCGCTAAAAAATTTTGTCCTATGTTTATGACGTTTAGGCACAATGTACATGGAAATGCAAGCAACAAGCAATGGCTAAATTTTGTTAATTTTTAATGATGATTAAAAGAGAAGATTGGGGGCATTCCCTAATTATCTAATTTGGAATGTGTGATTATATCCATATATAATCACACACTCTCGAATGTGTGAAAGGAATAGATCCACTAATACATTATAGATCCATTAGATACATTCTCTCGTATTTCCATTCTTTCCAGTGGAATCCTGCTATCATTAAGACTGTGATCTGTGGACAACAGGTAATTTAAATGTTACATCAAGTGTTTACATCACGGCCGTAATGTTGGCTAAATTTAGCAGAAGATTTTACTTGTTTACAATTCATATGTCAACCAATATGGCAAATATATTTTTGTCCATTGACTCACATTGGAATGCTTGCATTCACCTACAGGGCATATCAAAAAATGCTTGTCTTTGAAATCAGTTGACGTTTAGAATTTGCAAGATCTAGCAGTAATTGATCCCAAAGACTTGTAAAAGCAATTAAAAGCAGTAAGACATACGCGAAATGCGGCTGATGCACATAAGGGATCCAATAAGCTGATTTCAAAGATGAGCAGTCTTTTGATGCAATCGGTACTGTTGCTTTCGTCCGCTCACCTGTTTCTCACGCGCTCAGAATAAGTGAAAAACAGCAAAAATAAGCAAACGTCAATGAAAAGACTGCTAAATGACTAACAATACACACTCTTTGCTGATTTGTTTAGAGTTTGAAAGTACTGTACATGAGAACAATAAAGTGTAATTTAACTTTTTGTTTCCAATCAACAATGGGCAAATAAAGAATTTCAACAAAAATGTTATCCTATAATCCTAAACAAGACTATGGTATAATCATAAAGGTTTTTATAGAAATAGCATGACTTCATAAGACATCTCTAGAGTTGCTATATTGGCTCATTCCTCTTGTCATGACCTTGTAAAAACTGTACATATTATCTAAAAATTAATTTAGTTTTCTTGATAAAATATTATCTTCTATATCATTTACAATTCTTAAAAACAGTAATCTAAATGTACATCTGCATCTTTGTGTCAATATATGGTTTTTCTTAACACCAGTCATTGACGAAAGGCCACATGAACCTTTTCACTTTTCCTTCCACATGAATCCAAGTGAAGAGATGAAAGTTTCTTGAAATACGCTTTTAACAATTTGCTTCTTATTCTGTAAAATCATTTGATAATGCTTTCATCATTCGATCAACGACCAGAAACGTTTCCTCATTCAACTGGACAATACATGAATTTTCTTGGCCCTTCATGTGCAAATTGCAAATTTCCTTCCTTATTTCATCAAGAATTCATTCATCAAGATGCCAAACCACAAATAACACTCATTCTTTGAATAATTAGTATCTCATAGTTACTAATTATTCCAAGAATGGTTCTTACGTCAGAATCAGATAACAAATAACAAATACGGCTAACCTTACGTTTACTCCTCATTTGACTCTGAAGATGACTACCGCTAAGGTTGTCTAAACGTCAGTCAACAACAACAAAAACAGTCCTTCTCAGGACTATACCAACCTGGACGATCTACATTTACAAACACGTAAGGATACTCCCGGGTTCAAACCATTTACTTTAATACACTTTGTATAACATATTTCATAGCATGGTTGGTTGTATGAAAAGCTTACGTATTAACAATCTCCATATTTACAATACTAATCACTAATTTGATATATTATCTGCATATTTACATGCAAATATTTCTACGATAATCATAGACTTTGAAAAGCAGTGAAAAAAAGTTGAAAGATGAGAGCAACAGTTCCAAAGTCCAAAAACTGATTATATGCGCATGATAAAAAATTAAATCACATGTCTATAGGCAGCAAGTGAATTTTATGACATATAGTTTAAGTGCAATATGACTAAATAGAATTTAAATTTACTCTCATCACCAATTTTCTTAAGTTGAAGATAAATAGTTTGTTGACGAAAACGAACTCCTTTTCACACACACATTTAAAGTTTTTTAAAACAGTGACAAACTCTTATCTTTTTATTGCTGCTCTTTCTAGGTATTTTGAAAAAATCGAAGAGAAACGGATACATTAAGTATTTACGGTGATTGCTCGACAAAGAATTCTAACAAAACAAAACAAGACTATGCAGTAAACAATGTGAAAAAGCCTTCATCTTGGCAAGACTTAGTCAATGGCAGTTGAAATGAACTTACAATGATATATATACCTATTTACATCCTAACTTGTTCATTATCATATTTATTACTGTAATAACAAATGTATTATAAAATTTGTGTCGTATTTTGTTTCGGACTAATTACTCTTTTGCTTCATTTATAATTAATTACATACAAGATTTGAAAAATAAAACCTTAATTATCTTGCAACTGCTTGTTGGCTTTGTTGTTTGTGCTGAGAACCTTAACTGAAGACGATATATAGTTCAATAAATCCTAAATATGTCAACTTGTGGAAGAATCGTTATGATCCCAATTGAAAAAAGTAGCTATAGTAAACGAATTGTTGAATGTAAGTCAGATGGCAAACTACGTAGTCCTAAATTCGCTTTGTTTCGTATGTTCACATTATACACATGGATCACATGATTGTATTAAGCTGATCGTTTCATGATTATCTAGTTAATGTTATTCTAGATAATTTATATGGACATTTTGCCTCAAAGCCAGTCCAACTGTCCAAGACTTTCTAAAATTTGTAACAGTCAATTTGACACTAACAGACTAACTTTACTTGCTAAATTAAATTACGAAAGACAGTTAAGAAAATAAAGTTCCATATTATGATCATCTGAATGAATGAAACAAAAGAATACTTTATAAAAAAATATTTGTAATTTATTCGATGCAATACCCCCAGGCTCCAGCAAACATTATATAGGAGTATGTGAAACATTTGTCAATTCATTTATAATGATTTTACTCAAAGAATGAAAAAATATTTTCAACTTTAATGAGTCAAGTCAAAGTACATTAAATGTTTAAAGTACATCATGCTATGATGATCTAATTTAAGACTCTTATCTGCTGAAGGGTACTTTAACAAACTGTGGAAATATGTCGATCAAGTTATTTTTATACATGTTTACAATATTCCTTTAATGTCAACTCCAACAGCGAGATGTAAGTATGTTTTTCAATCATTAATATTTGTATGTATTTGCAACAATTCCAAGAAATTTCCATACTCAATATTTCTCGACCGAAATGAGTAAGTTTTTACCATGAACCAAAAATCAAAAATTAGTCAAATTTATTGTATTTAGTTGGTTATTCAGTGGCCCTACCGGAGTGGGAGGGTGTTCATAAATCAGTGGATAAAGAAGTGCTCGAGAGGATCAGTGAATTCGAGGAATTGCGCAGTTCTAAAAACGTAAGAAAAAACGAACGAACAGGCAGAATCTTGATAAAAAAATCAATCATAATACAAAAACCAAAATTTATATCACACGAATGAAGTTATGTTTAGCTAACGTTTGTTTCCTGAATAAGAATCAAGTATTTTTACTGCACGAATGACATGGGAATAGCTTTGGCTTTATTCATGTTTAAACTTTATATTACCGAAATTTCTTTTTTAAAATGATGATATGGTAAAAATTTAATCAAAGCACAAATAAAAATTTTGTCTTATATCTATAGTTAAGCTACCTTAATGGCATACTGTAGATTTATGTTATAATAGTAAACTTGTTTAACTCTTGCTACCTTTGTATTATTATTTTAATTCTTTGATGTATAGCTGAGATTCAAGACAATCTACAAAACGGGAGAAGCCGGCGTTGTGATATGTGAACAAGCTAATAAAGAAAATGTAAATTTCATTATCATGGGCTCACGTGGTTTAGGAAAGATTGCACGTGTACTTATTGGAAAAGTAAGCAGACACGTCATCCTACACAGCGGTCTCCCAGTCTTGGTCATACCACCGAGAACAGAGGAAAACTAATCACGAGCTTTTATGATATAAGTATAGTGTTTTGGTAATGGTGACACTTACATAAAGTATTAATAATTTCTTCTTTCACAAATCGTTAACTGATTAATTAATTGGTGATTCTTCACGTTACCAATTAATATATATTCAATATGGCGGAAGGTGAAGAGGTATTATAAGCTTGCAATATGCATTTTATGATCAATAACATATCTATAACTATAAGTAGTTAAAGCTACAAAGATTGTTAGACAGAGATTGTTGTAGAAAGATATTGAAAAAGTGTAAATTACGTCTTGCTTTATGTATACAGTTTATTTATCATTTTTATCAAGTTATCCATCTTTTTGTGTTAACCATTTAGGATTGAAAATACGACATGAAAACGACTATCTATAAAAAAGGAAAACGATTATCATTTTAATCAAACTACAATCTATATGGTTTTTCGCTGTTATATTACGTCATAAGATGATTTATTCCATTGACATGATTTATCTACCATGAAAATCTCAAAATTCAACACATGCTATAGTTCCAACTACGTTTGCAAGTTTTGCCCAACGTTTATAACTTGTAGACTTCAGACCTTTTACACCAGTGGTTAAAATTTCTTTACATAAAGATGATATTTTTGGTGACGATTCTCTCCTAATAAATGAACCAAAACATTCCTCTAGCAATGGAAAAAATTTCATTGTTGTATTCAATGTTTCGAACTTCTAGATCTTGCAGTGGAAAATTTTATTTTTGTGTTCAATGTTGCGAACTTGCATTTGTATCTATACTATTTTCCCAGCTATTTGCAAGAGGAAAAAAGGAATTGAAATAAGTTAAAATTAAAAGTTGCATTGTTATGCAAACTATAGAAAAGTCTATTGGAAAGCAAAACCCAGGGTAAAACCATGCAGGGTTTCACCAGTTGAATTGAAAGTTGAATGTCAAATGATCAACTTACATTTTCTTTTTTTGTCTTTTTTCCTTTTTCTGAAAATAGAAAATGTGTATATAATCGCCTGAGTAATGAGATAATAATCGAAACTAATCTTTATGTAAATATCTTAGTTAATATACCTACACAAAGGGAAGGATAATTTCTTTGACTTTGAGCAAATCAGTAGGCAGTTTGAAGCAATTATATTGTAAATCTTAGATGTAATGAGTTTTCTCAATTTGCTCCAATAAAAAAACAATTATTTCATTTATCAATTACACTGTTCCAATAAACCATATTTAATTTATCAACTAGAATGTTCCAATTCTAATTCGATAAAACGGGGATCTTATGATGGATTTATTTTATGCCGCAGGAAATTATTTGACAACGGGGATGCCTCGATGCCTTTAAATTTTGAAATTTAATTATTTCTCGCAGTTTTAACCAGCTTTTATATCCATCTTACATTTTGAAGTTTGAAAGCCTGCGAAATCGTTGTTATTTATATTTTGTATGGCTTTAATGGTTATGCACAAATGAAAAGAGAAAAAATGCACGAATAATCAGCTGGCTGAGCCACGATAAAAACGTCTATTTAGCTACAAATCGTAGAACTTACCGCAGCGGAAGTAATTGTCAGCTCGTGGACAATAAAACAAAGAAAAACCAATATTAAAAATATCTTTCTTGTCATGACGAGTTTTTACTGTGTAGACGCTAAAATGATAACCTCCAATCTGAACACGTTCTATTTGAATTGCTGTAATTTACTCTTTCCCCTGACATCTCTGGTAACGAAACGTAATGTAATGTGATTGGCTTAACTTAGTATAACGTGGATTGTTCCATGACGTCATTGAAACTTGCAGTGTTACAAAAGGATTTCCCCTCGAGATCTGGGGATTTTGTATGCTTATGCCATAAATGTTTTTTTAAGTTTCTATTTTACAATCTTGATCACACCCGGTACGAACTTAGAAAGAGGCGATTTGGAGTAAATCTTTGATACAGTCAAACTGTGATTCACCAGTTAATTGAACAACTTTCAAAAGTTTGAAAATACCATAGCAATAGTCTTGCAGGTTAAAAATTTCTAAAGAATATTTTGGAGCCAAATTTTACTGATATTTTACGAATATGATTCGCAGATGGTATATTTATATACAAACATGTGCAATATTAGAAGTTCACTCACATTTCTAAATCATGATCTTAACATCCATTAAAAAGTATCGCATAAAAAGTCACCCAGTACGTCTCCATATTTTGCCCATCTGTCATATCCGTACCAACGAAGTCCTTCCATGCCCAAGTCTTTGGCTTTCTTGCAAAATGCATTTTTATGATGAGCGTTCTTCCTAAACAGTTCACATCTTTATAAGTGACAAATACTTATACATTAGGTATGATGGGAAGGTCATTCGCTTGTACAAGGAGCAAAGAAAACAATTTGGTTTTGAGAAAATTAAATTTGATGGCTAAAAATTCAACGTAAAAAAGAAAACAATTGGGACATTTCTGATTTTCTTCGCAACAGTCTTTTATCAGACACTACTGCTGAATTATTTAGTAACCATTTTGACATGCAGCTAAAACGATGTAAGTATTAGCTCATTGTTGAATATCAGTATACATCTCCTTTGAAGTTCACTTCCTTTCATCTCGCAGCATGAAATCAATAAACATTCACAAATCAACTTACTGATTTCCTTGTCCTTTAGACTTTTTCTATATAAAAAACGAGGATTATTTATGCTAACAATTAAAAACTGATTTTAATTTAAGACAGACAAATTTTGCAATGTGAATTCAATTGTGGACTCAATACATGGCTTGTCTGAGAGTAAAATGAAAATAACATAAATATATCGAGCCTCCACGCAAATCGATTATGGATTCATAAATGCAGATGCACAAAATAACTAAAATTTAAGTCATATAGAAACATTAGAACTGTGAACATGTCATAAAATTGACCATAATATGATGTAGCTATTCGAACAATCGAACAATGGAATGTTGGAGAAACATTTTGCAAAACATGTGCGTTGTATTTGTAAAATCATACGACTTACCGTCGAAACAACAGTTAGTTGATTAAAGAGAAAAAAAAGAAAAATGAAGCTGAAAAATATTTTGCTTCTTGAATGCTTCATGTTCAGCTTGAAGAGTCAAAGCGCAGGAATTCCAGCTGGCCACTATTGAATTCTTGGTAATCCAAAGCACTTCTGAGAACCTTCTATTGTTAAACACAGTTTAGGCTGTTATGATTGGCTAAATGGACGTATTATAATTGCAATCTAAGGCCCATTTCAAACGGCGTGTATTTCATGTGCCGAACCTAATTTAGAGTATTTTGCACATGAGAAGCACGTCGTTTGAAACGGGCCTAAGCTATATTTAAATTGACGACTAAGCAATATTATAAAATGCTGTTTCCATACAACGTATGTTAGTTTCCCAAGCAAAACATTTTTTATTTTCAATTTTTTTGCAGTAAAAAGTACCATGCAAACGTCATGTCGGTATATTTTTAAAGTTCATCATAGATTTTAAAATATAGCTAACAAAATATAGGCACTGTAAATTAATGATTAACATGTTCTTGGTTTTTCCTAATGACAACGTGATGTTTGAATGATTAGCAATGTGATTAACTCTGTTATTGTTCTTCGAATGCAATGTCACATAGTTTGCCACCAATTGGATCTAAAATTCTGGTCCACCAACCGAACCCTTTGGCACCGATGGATTGAAGTCTGGCAACTAAACTATCAGCTGGAACTCCACCGCCATAGAAAATGGCCGTCCAAGACATCATTTTCGATGCAATGGATCCAGCAGCAATTCCACTGCTTGTAAAACCCACCGCATTTACAATCACAGCACCATTTGCACCTACTTTAAAAACTATTTTACAAGCGCTATTGGCTGTTGCCTATAAAAAGGAACTTCAACCATTAACAAGTTAAATATAGGAATATCTAAACGTGGATTAAACTAAACACTTACCGCTGTTGCAGTTCTCAAAGTTGAAATGAGACTAAGGCACATGAACAGAATAACAATTTTCTTATTTGACTTAAAATTCATTCTTACCACACAATGATGATGTCAAAGAAACAATAAAACTTGTCCTCGGTGATGAAAGGCCGATTTTAAATTTGCGCTAAAAATTTTGTCCTATGTTTATGACGTTTAGGCACAATGTACATGGAAATGCAAGCAACAAGCAATGGCTAATCCTAACACGGTTTTTAATATGCACATTTATGCACATGAAAAACAAGTGACTTGGACGAGATTTGAACTCGCCTCTTCGGGTACTAGTCCGCCGCTCTACCTGTTGAGCTACAAAGCCCACAGGGATTGGAGACGAGTCAAATCTATTTTAAACTGCGTATGAACGACAGATTCTCGCCACTATAGCAGTTTACTGGATGGCACCGTTTTTCGACTTTATTCCAAAGCCATCATCAGAGAATATATAATATATTAATCCTAACACGGTTTTTAATATGTACATGAAAAACATGTGACTTGGACGAGATTTGAACTCGAACCTTCGGGTACTAGTCCGCCGCTCTACCTGTTGAGCTTACAAGCCCACAGGGATTGGAGACGAGTCAAATCTCTTTTAAACTGCGTATGGACGAGAGATTCTCGCCACTATAGCAGTTTACTGTACGCAGTATACGCAGTTTAAGAGATTTGACTCGTCTCCAATCCCTGTGGGCTTGGTAGCTCAACAGGTAGAGCGGCGGACTAGTACCCGAAGGTGCGAGTTCAAATCTCGTCCAAGTCACATGTTTTTCATGTGCATATTAAAAACCGTGTTAGGATTAATATATTATATAAGCAATGGCTAAATTTTGTTAATTTTTAATGATGATTGAAAGAGAAGATTGGGGGCATTCCCTAATTATCTAATTTGGAATGTGTGATTATATCCATATATAATCACACACTCTCGAATGTGTGAAAGGAATAGATCCACTGATACATTATAGATCCATTAGATACATTATAGATCCATTTGATACATTATAGATCCATTTGATACATTATAGATCCATTTGATACATTATAGATCCATTAGATACATTCTCTCGTATTTCCATTCTTTCCAGTGGAATCCTGCTATCATTAAGACTGTGATCTGTGGACAACAGGTAATTTACATGTTACATCCAGTGTTTACATCACGGCCGTAATGTTGGTTGAATTTGGCCGAAGATTTTACTTGTTTATAATTCATATCTCAACCAATATGGAAAATACATTTTTGTCCTTTGACTTACATTGGAATGCTGGCAATCCACCTACTGGGCATATCAAAAAATGCTTGTCTTTGAAATCAGTTGACCTTTAGAATTTGCAAGATCAAGCAGTAATTGATCCCAAAGACTTGTAAAAGCAATTAAAAACAGTAAGACATACGCGAAATGCGGCTGATGCACATTAGGGATCAATAAGCTGATTTCAAAGATGAGCAGTTTTTTGATGCAATAAGTATTGTTGCTTTCGTCCGCTCATCCGTTTCTCACGCGCTCAGAATAAGTGAAAAACAGCAAAAATAAGCAAACGTCAATGAAAAGACTGCTAAATGACTAACAATACACACTCTTCGCTGATTTGTTTACAGTTTGAAAGTATCGTACATGAGAACAATAAAGTGTGATTTAACTTTTTGTTTCCACTCAGCAATGGGCAAATAAAGAATTTCAACAAAAATGTTATCCTATAATCCTAAACAAGACTATGGTATAATCATAAAGGTTTTTATAGAAATAGCATGACTTGATAAGACATCTCTAGAGTTGCTATATTGGCTCATTCCTCTCGTTATGACCTTGTAAAAACTGTACATATTATCTAAAAATGAATTTAGTTTTCTTGATAAAATATTATCTTCTATATCATTTACATTTCTTAAAAACAGTAATCTAAATGTACATCTGCATCTTTGTGTCAATATCTGGTTTTTCTTAACTCCAGTCATTGACGAAAGGCCACATGAACCTTTTCACTTTTCCTTCCACATGAATCCAAATGAAGAGATGAAAGTTTCTTGAAATACGCTTTCAACAATTTGCTTCTTATTCTGTAAAATCATTTGGTAATGTTTTCATCATTCGATCAACGACCAGAAACGTTTCCGCATTAAACTGGACAATACATGAATTTCCTTGGCCCTTCATGTGCAAATTGCAAATTTCCTTTCTTATTTCATCAAGAATTCATTCATCAAGATGCCAAACCACAACTAACACTCATTCTTGGAATAATTAGTATCTCATAGTTGAAAAAATTATCTTGCTACTTTTTGTCATATGTTGTCAGACTAGTTTTTCTCTTTTCTCTTGTAACATCACGATTGCCTTGCTTTAAAGACAGTGCCGTTGGCCCTGAGCTTCCACCACGACTAAATGTAAAAGCCAAGATACATTAATACTTGTTGCGATCATGTATCGTGTATTTCTATAACTCAAGTTATATGAAGTATACGGAAATTAACCTTTTCAGTGCCCGCGTTGCACTTCTCGTTGTACGGCGGGGTATAGCCGAAACCTTTGATGTTTTTAGAGGCGAAATAACCGATTGCAATGATGAAGAGCTTGTTAATCTAAGAAAACAAATTAAATCATTTATCATTGAGTTCATATCTTGATGAATCTGTGTAAGATCACATAATACAGCCTAGAACAAAGTCGATAATCGTGCACGAAACACATCATTGCCATCACATATTACTAATCGTTATGTCATACACCCAAATAAAATGTGTGCAACTCTTACGAAATGAAATATGGGACCATATTGAGATCATGAACGACTAAAACATACATAATTTGGCTAAGCTTTTAATATTAGTAAGAAGCAACAAATAGACACACAATATTTGTCAATTTGTAAATACAATCGTAAACAAATAACGTCTCTTTCATTTTTCACCGCAGTAATCAATGTGAATACGTACAACACACCCCCAGACGCATGATTTGTAAAAAGCTTCACCATATGTATAAGTGCTCATTACAGAAAGGAATATTATGATTCAGTACAATATACGTCAGAGTCAACTTACCGCTGACCACGACTCGATGCTGTTCTGCTATGCACGTGACGTAAATCTTCCACCCTGGCATACACACGTGAATTGAAATAAACATTTAAATTGAATCGTCATTTAGTTTGTACAAGACATGCGCAACACTAACATCAGTAACTTCATCCGGTAGCAGATTTAGGGCTAAGTAAAATTCGGTAAATTACTGTAAATTCGCTACATCTGCTAACAATAAACTTAAAATACTTCTATACAAAAATGCCATTGGTTTAATTTACAAAGAATAAAATTTAGCCTATTGATAAGCTGATATAAATTATTTTGCCTACAATTGCAAGAATGATACTTTATTTATCGAAGAATGTTAAACTGACCTTATGGCTCCAGTCGTAGCACAACGGGGATGTCTTAAAGACCAACTGGTTTTAAGTTTACGTAATTCATCTCCCTGTGTAAGTCTATCTTCATCATCATGACGATGTTTATTGAATGTGTTACCAGTCACACGACTTGACGATTTTAAATACTTTGTCTTGCTGGTAGAGGAATTAGATAAAGAGTCTGATACATCCTGTAATAAATACTTTTAAATAAAAAGTTTTCGAAACAGAATTTGAATATTAAAAAGATAACGTATGTCACAGTTGCTTCATTAGTACAAGTAAAGGAGACTTTGCACATGACCATTGCACACAAACATCTTTTATACAAATATTGAGAGGAAGAATGGTAGTGATAAGTGGGGCTGGGGCTAAAAGAGGGAGTTATAGGAGCCAATTAAATCATCGGAATGAGATGTAAAAATTCTTTAGCCAGTGTATTGCAATGATCGTGAAATAAGCAGGAGAGTCGTATGAATAATTTTATTAATACCTTAAATGTATTAGGCGAAGTATTTATAACAGAACTTTCGATTTTCAGTGAGTTTACGCCTGTTGTAATTGTGCCAACTGCACTAAGCACTAAAAAAAGGAATATTTACAACAATAACGTCTTCAAACATAAAAATCCCGAAGCATGGTGAAAATGTATCAAATATCTTTCGTTTTTTGTAATTTTTTTTGCTAACACCAAAGACAACACCAAAAGTTATTTGTAAAAAGATTGTCATGCAAACTTACAGTTTCCATTTTGATCTTTTGTCCTCGTTTTAAAAACATCTCCTTGTATCCAAAGACGCGTCTGCTTCCTAAGTCATAGAAAAAAAATTTATGTCCGACCATAAGTCATGAAAAAATTATTTATGCTTGCTTCCTAAGTCATGGAAAAATAACTTATGTCGATAAATATAGGGGAGCAAATTGCTTGATGGCATTATCATTGACAGTTTGTACTTTAGAAAAGCGAAACAAGAAACATGAAGAACAACTTACTCCTCTAGAAAGTTTTGTTGTGGACCAATGACAGAACCAGGGCGACATATTCTAAATATTATAATTCATACTTTTACAAAAATTACAAAACAAAGACTTAATCAAACATGTAAATAAACATAAATATTTTGTATAACATATTTCATACCATGGTTAGTTGTATGAAAACCTTACGTATTAAAAACCTTCTCCTTATAAATGCTACGTTTTCCGACAAATTATCGTTGTTTTAAACGTCATCTCAGTACGTTTAAAGTTTTCGTTGAAGCAGACGCCCCACACAAGGAGAAGTCTACGGAAATTCATCGTGCTATTAAGCAAAATTTAACTATGGTTTCACAATAAGCACCACAGTCTTAAATACGTTATCAACAGAGTGTTTGAATTGATACTGCATTTTACTGTACTTCCAACGACATTTTTTAAAAATATGGCTAGCACTCAAAACTTCGAGTCTTCAAAAAACGAGAATTCGTCGAACTTTCAAAGAAAAAGATTAATTTTACAACAAATCTCCAATACTATAAACAGTACTATAACATTCGCTGACTTGAAAAAGTTTCACGATCAAATGTTTTGGAAAATCGCACTTTTAATAAATTTGAAGAGAATATGCATTCACACAAACTTCCAAGCATCTAAAATCTACATACTTTAAAGTTTCTTTAAAATACCTTATCCAGGCAATTGCTTCAGGAGCTGTAAAACGATAATGCTTCATAAGATAACAGCCTATTAAACTTCCTGTTCGACCAAGACCAGCTAAAAGAAAACAAAACATTAAATTTGTGAAGTCTAAACATTTAAAACTCAAAAAATAAACACGGAAAATGTACCTTTGCAATGTACAGCAATTCCTCCGCAAGTTGATTCAGCCACAGTAAGAAATCGTCTAAAATCAATAAAATTATTATGTTCTGTCTGAATATCATCAGAAATTTTAAGACTTATAAGCACATTATGATAATAAAAACAGAAAGCTTTTTGCTAAACAGTCTTAATGAGTGAATTTTAGCTCATTATGGTAGACACGTGTGAAGAGAAAAATTGCCAATAAGACATGAAAAGTACCGAATAATTGAATCAGTTGGCACACTTCCATCATTGAAGAACAAATCGTAATGGTCAAAACCAGCATCAGTAAATCTCTTGGCTTCATACATCTTTTTATTGAGACGAACAATGGTCGTAATACCGTGTTTGCGGAAATATGGTATGTATGACTCAGGAGAGTGAAGAGGATAACCTAAAAAAAGACGACAATGTGAAATGTTTTACTTCTAAAAGTGGCTGTCTTGCAAATGAATATAATAGTGAAAGCTCATTATTGATGAATGTGTTTGCCTAATAGTAAATAGTTCGTTGGTCACAAATTATTATATCTGAGCATGTACAATCCGCTCTACGAATTCTTCGAGCTCATAGCCATGGTAAGATGAAACTGGATGAATTTGCACTGATTTTAGAGTAACTGGTTCACGCGGTCACATGAGAAATTTTGGAGTTAATAGCTTGCTACAATCACAAATAGCAGAAATCCTCTGTGAAATCTCATGTTCACTTGACCAATTGCTCGATAATGACTAACTGTACCTAGTACATGCATTGAACTGAAATACATGGAACGCTACCTGTAATACAAAACCCTAATAATTTTTTAAAGCCGTGATTTTACCCCAGACACGCGAGACTTTACGCCAGACAAGCGTGTGTAGTCAATTATTACTCCGCGAGAGAATCTAGAAACACTAAACACGCGTGTCTGAGGTAAAATCTCGCGTGTCTGGTGTAAGATATGGCTTTAATTATTTGCTTGAGGTAGCGTTCCATGTATTTTAGTTTAATGAGTTTATACGTAAGGACAACAAAATGTTATGAAATTTTAATTGTTTGTGAATAGAAAATTGACTTCTATGAATTTATCAGATTATTAGCGTATGAACTTCACGCTAGCAACGTAATTCGGAGTAAGGCATGATAACAATCATGTGTTAAATTATCTGTTCTTTTCACACTTGAATTAACCTTCATTTTCGTTTGAAAAAGAACAAACAATAAAACGCGTGCGCTGATTGGTCTATTGCTGAGTTTGCATTAGCTTGTGCGCACAGATCTGAGATTAGTCATCTAAATCAATCAAAGAGAATTTGCAAATCAATCACAAATAAATCTTACAGGAAATAAAAACAATCTTGAAGACACTTCACACAAAAATGAAAAACATACCATTGAGCAGCCTGCTCTTGTTATGAGGACCACTAAATGCCAAAAACTTTCCTGCAAACAAATAATACGACACAAATTTCAAACAGATGTCACACCTCACACAATTGCAGCTGATATTTTCTTTAAAATAGTTTTGATTTTGAGCATTTAGAAGATGCGTCAACCAAAGTATTATTTGTCAATTCATTGCTACTGTGTAATCCTACCTGGAACAATCCAATTAAAGTCACCATTTTCAACTCTCTAGAATGATTGAATGTAATAAATATATGACTTGTTAAGTCTTTTTCTCATATTTGTCATTACACAGCACTAAGCAAAGCACCATTAATAAGCTCAACAAACCTCATAATGCTCATATTCTTCAACATCAAAGGTTTCAAAATCAAAAAACTGATTTTGCATGGCCTGTACATAAAAAAGTATTTCATCAGATAAAATCATGAAAGCCAACCAAAAAGCAACAACGCAGGTACATACTTTATATAGGCCATTTAGGCAATCTAAGATAGTAAGATTAAACGAGCAAGCACCAAAAGATGCATCCCTGAAATGAAGAGAAAATAAACAATAATCATCATGAGCATACACAATTAACACAATACAGAAAAAATCATCGTCATATAAAAACAACAAGTATGAATTTTTGTGCACCTGAAAGGAAGGTAAGGTGGAGAGCTACCGCTACTTAACGGTTCATAGGCTTCATCAGGTTTTTTCATCAAGTAAATTATCTTAATAATGGAATTGATACAAGTCATTACTTTTCACAATTAAAGTCACATTTTAATGACTTCACTACTACTACCAATTTACTATTTGACCTATCTGACCAAACCAATAGCAAATGATAAAATAATATTACTGTTGGTTGTAAAGCACTAATGTAAAGAAATTTATGTAACACTTAAAGAGTACATATTGAATTTGTAAGATCTTGAGTTCTTACAAAGATGGGAGATACCATTGTTAACCAATCTTACCTGATAAGCACCAATCAAAAATGCTGCATTTGCTCTTTTTCTACTATCAAAGCTTGTATAGTGAACGATCTTTTTGCGAGCAAGCGAAAAGGACTAAAATCAAATGACATGTCAAAAAGTTTTAATGGAAAGGTATATGGGGTTCAAGATCTCGAATATTTGAGAAATAAGATAAAATACCACAGAGAATTGGGATGAGTAAACTAATAGTTTTAGCATAATCAACAGAATGTTGGTGGCTACAAGACAACACTATGCATTATTGCAGGTGAGAAACATATGCAGCAAACCATTTATGATAGCAAGTGAGCAGTCCAGAAAATCAAATAATAAAACATACAATCTAATGTATGATCCTCACAAACATAACATAATTCATTAAATTCATTCAGGCACTTCAATCATCAACAAGAAGCATTTTTTTTACTACTCCATGATGCACCAGCATTTCAATCGAGCAGAACACAAATTCTACAATCAATGCTGATATTATTTAAAAGCTCAAACATATCAAGTAAATATACTTTCTACACAAATGGACAGGCTCCATCTGAATCTTATCTTAAGTTAAAAGCTGTTGATATTCAGCTTCATTCCACATACTTTCAACTTCTTGTTCAGCTTGCAACAATAACGATATAGCATCGCCAAGTTAAGAGGACCAAAGTCGGCATAAAAACTAGGATAAAACCAAATTCTTGAGCATAAAATATCATCAATAGTAACTGGCTTTAAGGGAAGTGGTCCCAACTTACGAGACTGGCAAAACCACAAAAACCATTACCAAGTCAACAATGTCTGGCAAACTTTATAATGACAAAAAAAGAACAAACATACTTCTCATATACCAATTCGTCGTCGACGCTGAAGTAGTGCACATTTTGCGTACTCCTTGGCCTTCCTCGAACAGTACTGAAATATAAGCGATCTAAAAAACGAAACGTCAAAGTGTGAGTTCAGACGCAAGCTTCTTCACAATCTCAATGCTAAACAACAGACAAATTTATTTTACAACCACTAAACAAATATTTACTACAAACCTTTTATTATTTCACAATCGTGAATACCCAGTAAACTTTCTTCAGACATAATAAAAAATTGCATTAAATTATATATATTGTTTTGTCCATCCAACCTCTTTCATTTTTCACAATACAAATATAATATTACACAAACCATTTGAAACCGAATATCGCATATCGAACACGGTTCCTTACAGGCCATTTGGTTCAACCAATCAAAACGCTGTAAAATGCTGTTGCTATAACAGCCAATAATGGTTCAGACGAAATTTGTCAACAAATGTAAAATTAACATTTAACGTAGGCAATCATAGAGAATTTTGCCCAAAACCCTACTTTTGACTCACTCTGTTTAATGAAAACAAATCCACTAAGAGAAAAAAGCAATTGTGCCTAAAAAACAAAACTCGTTTGGCGAGAGTTCTAATAAGTTCTCAATTAACAATTGCGTAAAGCTCATAAGCCACTTAATTATCACAGCAAGCACACAAGGAAAGGGGAATGAATGGATGAAGTATACCCTAAAATAGCTCGAAAACCGCTATCCTAAGGAAGAATATTATCCAGTGTGCAATTTTCTCAGTAGAAAACTTAAATACCTGTACCTAGAAAGTAAAATTAGCCAAGTCTCGGAGCCTCGGACGTACTTTAATTCGTAACAAGATTAACTTTCCTCTTATCATACTAGATAAAATTCTTTTTCATTCTACGGATAAAAAAAATTACGCTTTCTTGATCGTTTTAATGTGTATTGTCCTTCGGTCATTGCAACCGGCCCAGGACATACGTACATTAGCTGCCAGCCTGCCACTGACTACCTGCTAGAAGCCACATTAAACTAGGGTTGACAAAAAGACAGAGTAGCTATTGGAAAGCAGTCTGAATATCATACCTAACCCACAAGCGTTCCAGTATTAAACCGCTAATCCAGTGATGCATTCTTGACATTTATATGGTACCAAAAGTATTTAGCTTTGTTATTTTAACTTACACTAAAGTATAAGAACTTTTAGCAAGAAATTTATCTTGACAAAAAGTTATGGGGAGGAATATCTTTTCAAATTAAGTTGTAAAATATTGCTAAAATGAACGTAACGTCAAAAGATACGAACGAAAAATCATTAAAATGAACTTCTCACAAAAGCTACAATCATTTTTTACTTTATATGACACATTATGATGCTAATTCAAACATCTAAGGATTTAAAAAGGTGAAAAAACGACATAACCCCAAGCATTCAAACTACCTGTTTTTAGCAAGCTGAGACTTGTTCAGGCTTCGGCCAAACTTCTAGCAGCAGTCTTATAGCATTAATGTCTTTTTTCGTATCATTGACAGTGCTTACAGTACTTAGACTCAATGAAGGACATAGGAGCACAGGTCCTATACATACAGCTAGGTTATGGCTATCCATCTTATTTACTTCACTGTTCATAAGCACAGTGGAAAAATGATCAAACAAGTACATTATTGTCGCTTTGCCCAATCGAGAAAATTTGTCAACTATTTGGGAGAGCACTGTTTCGGATAATGTGTCTACGTCTTGAGAAATTAGTAATTCACGAATATCTTGCGAAAGAAGAGGTTGAGGTAGCTCACGAAGATAATCTTTGAGTAGTCCTGTAATTATGTTAACATCAACTGGATTCTCAGTGGAATTTAGATTCACATTAGAACTATCATTATCAAATTGTGCCCGCAATGCCTTCTTTTTAGCGGCATTTCCACATATTCGATAGATACCAGTAGTTTCGAGTCCTCTCGCATTAATTTCTTCAACACACTTCCGAATCAAATTAGGTATTTTTGAACCCTCTCGACGCAATACAGTTTCAAGAGGAAACCCAAATACACCTTCTTTCTTTTGCGATGGTGTTCGTTGGAGCATAAATTTCATATCAGTAAATGATAACTTGATGCAAAGCAAGCCAAAAGGTTCTAGACATACAGCAAGGCAATGTTCATTTCCTTCGTTATGTAACGAAGCAAGGCTCAACGTTCCTTCGGCAATCTTTGTGTCATTCTTTTTGAAACGTGTGTAAACGTTAACACAGAGTTCCCGTGATCGTTGCAGTTCGATTTCAAAACTTTCGTTCCACTCGAAGTCGTTACCACCTTTCTTTGCAAGTGTAGATGCTTGCTTAACTCCATCAGACTCGATGCTACAAAATACTTTAGTTTTCTTTCGTTTTTCTTTTCCACTAAAATCACCAAGTTGCGCTCCCTTGATAATAGCTAAAGTTAACATTCCTGAAACAGCACGCGGTTGGGATTCTTGAGGGATACCAGGGTATAATCTGTATCCGTGTTCTGCATCATCGGAGGAGATATCTTTGGGTTCATGAACACGATACGGGTCACCCGTAAGGGCTTTTGAAAGTGCTCGACTTCCCTCCGAAAATTTTCGAACTTGCTTTCTTTTTTGATTACTGATCTTTGAAAACCAACTATTATTGTTGGATTCTCTTATATCGTCAGAAGACGATGGATGAAAGAAGGAATGCTTCTCGTGTTCAACTTTTTCTTTTCGAAGTATAACATTGCAGTTGTGATCTTCATTTTCAGTTGAAGAACTAACTGGACTGTTATCAGAGAGCCGGGATGATACTGTCAGCATTTCTGAACGCGACAGAGCACCTATACTGGTCTTATGATTGGATGATCTTACTATAGGTGATTCTGAGCTCGACAGCGACGAGCTTGATCCGAACGACTCCGATTCCTTAAACCAGTTTTGCTTTGCTTCAATCTTGATTTCATTGATTGAGTGGGATGTTTTTGATGTTGAATTAACTTTTGGATTGTTCGACGAGACAATGTCAAACTTAACATCGCTAGGATCCAAACGTCTAGATATATTAACCCCATCTTGTACATCATTTTGTAAAGATTTTCCTACGGTGTCTACTAACGTAATATCACCTGTAGATCTTCTTTGATTTGTTGCTCTTACGGGGAAATTTTTCGGATTGATCGAACCATTAAAAGGATAAATACCATTAGGATTGAGTTGCTGGTATTTAGAAGTCTTTGAATCATTCTTCTGGTTCAACTGTGTTCGATGCGAAACTTTTGAATTGAAAAATTTATTTGTATCAATACGAGTCACTCTTTCATTATCTATTTCAAGATGTTCAGAGTGTTGCAGCCCCGCAGGCAGATCTGGTAACATTCTGCCCGAAGAGCTACGTCGAAATTGCGAAAACCCAGACTCGCCAGGTAATGAAGCCTGAGTGTTCAACTCCTGGTTGTTATAATTGTCGGATTTATTTATTTTTTTCACACAGGTAAAGTTTGAGTTGGTTTCTCCAATGTCCTTATCATTAGATAATCCTTCATGTCCGAATCTTACTCTTAATGACAATTTCTTTGGAATTTGAATCATGGCAACAACATCACTTAGTTTATAATCGTTCACAGGAACGCTATTAATCTCCAAAATCTCATCTCCAATGCTGAGCAAAGAATTCTGTTCGACAACACCTCCAGGAGTAAGACGTGATACGAATATTCCACCAGGCCGTTCTCCTTTATTGACATTATATTCACGCAGTGAAAATCCTAAAGGTTGACCTGATATCTTGACTATGTTCACAATACCAACGTTACAATCAACTTTAGTCGGTGTCTTACACACATAAGTACTGTTGTTATTCTTACTAGAAGTAATACTTAGTCGCTTTTCCTTTATTGATTTATCAATGTCGCAGTCAAGAGTTAAAAGCATAGCAACAACCTCGGGTGTTAAGCGTTTCTTACCAACACCGGTAACTACATTTTGTCTTTCGTCCATTTTTATACAGCGCTGGATTATAACATTTGAAGTTATGCTTGTGTCAACATCGGGAGCGAAAGGCAGTTGCCGACGCCAGGTTGGAGCAGCCATTGCCATGGTTGACTAATTGAAAAGCCTTTATGAAGTGCATTGTTCATAAAATCTTCACGAGTTAAATATTCACCATCTTTTACTGCAGTAGAACAGCCATCAAAGGTAATTAGACACCACAAATGTGCTGTAATTAGAAAAGGTTTCGACCAATGATAGCAACTGTCAAACAAAGTGGATTAAATTATTGACGAAAAAATCAATGTGAAATAATGTGAAGAGAATCATAAGCTTTTGTAACGAGGACATTTGTTTACAGTAAAGAAAAAATTTAAATTCGCCTTTGAATAGAAAATAATAGACTTCAGTAAATCATTTTTATAGGTAAAACAACAATAGTCAATAGGATAGAAGAGTCGTTATTTTTATTCTTACTTTTGATAAGAAATTTCCAATGTTTAGCCAGGCTGCCAAAAAACGTAAGATATATTTACGACGACGCGCTTTTCAAACCATTAATACATTTATGAAGAGCCTGACGACACTAAAATGATTAATTATTTATATGCAAAGTATTTACAACATATGGCTTATATGATAAAGTAATTTCACATACGGACCAAATGATTGCATTTCATTATCTAGCTTTTGTACCAGACCGCGCTTGTACGTCGTTGTAATGGCTTGCTGAACACGACTTAAGCGCGTGATATTTCCAGGCATCAGAGATCATTTTCATCTAAATTTAAATAGAAGTGTTAAGTTTCCATACTTATTTTGTTATTGATATCAATATTATTGTCATTGATATGATCTTCGTTATTTATTATTATAATTAACTTTGTTTGAGAGTTGAGAGCCTTTAGTCTATATGAAAGGTACAGCGGTGTCTTGCTAAACAAATCGTACACCAGTACTACAAGTAAAAGATGGCTAAAATTGTATAATAAATTAAGTTTTATATTATCGTTGCTTTGATTTGAATAAAATACTCGCCAGATATTTTTTGATAGGTTTCATAGTGTGTCAAACGAATTTTTTTTGAAAATGTCACTCGTAGCTCTACTTGGAGAAATTCGTATTCTTTTGGTTCACAATGTTCAATAAAAGCTAAATGTATGAGGCAAGACCAAGGGTAAAGCTCGTGTTCAAAAACACTCAAAATACTTACTGGAATGAGGACATCTTTCTCGTTCTCAGATTCTACAACAGACAGTTCCTCTGGCGTCAGGAGCAGTAAACGTAGTTTACCCACGATGTTTTTGGAAACTTCTTGGGCTGGTCTGTTAAGACCAATCTATTAAGTATTTCAAGATTTCGAACTTAAGAAATGGAGGAAATTTGACTTCTTTAACATGAATCCACTATAGCTTTTGTAAATGTTGAGATACAACATCAAGAATAAACCTTTTTTAACAAAAAGTAGCAAGACTACATAAAAATAAAAGCATAAAACATGTCAACCGAAATCTTATTTTGTAGATGGAATTCAGCTCTAAGTTCTACGTTATTTTGACAAAAAATTTGAAGCTGTATTAACTTTTTCATAAGTTAAGGAAAATTCAACGACATAAAAGGCAGAGAACAGGTCAAAACCCAGCTAAAACAACTGCGCATGCGCACAGTAAGTAATTCAGGGGATCGGAAGCACGAAGCCTGGACGTCCTGGATCGCGAAGCCTTGGAGGTTTGCAATGAACTTAAAAGAAATAAATGAAAACGTAAGCTTTATGAGCAATAGAAAATATAAACATTTTCTTCATAACTTTGAAAAAACGAATAGCGTTATTTGGTCTTCAGGCAACATACTCTAGAGTTACAGTGAAATGTAGTGCATTCTGAGCAAAATTAAGATTTACAAGGCTATACGGCGTACATGCAATATAATGGAGAATATGGAGCTTATGGAAAAAATTACTCACCGAGTTGACAGTAGCCCACTCTCTGAATAAGGATATAAGATCAATTTCATCAATATTCAGTTTATCACTAGATAATAACACACCAAAAGCTTCTTCAGATAGTTCGTGAAAACTTTCAGTTCGAAATACTTCTTGTGTGTTCTTTTCGATGAAATCGAGCACTGTTTCCTTCAGATTGGATAAACTATACATAACAGACACCTAACAAACACAGTTCCAAGACATTAGTAAGAATAAAGAATTTTCCTCTCGAAACGTAAACAGGAAAGGCGACTCTCTATAGGAAGAAAGTCGTGTGTCTCAATGCAAACAAATTTGTTTCTCTTCATAAAAGAATATATTTCATATAAGAAGTCATTTCTATAGAACGTCTATAAAAAAAAATTTTCGTTATTTGTTATGGGCAGTAAGTTAATAACGAAAGTGTAGTAACGTACCTGCATTGCAGCACAAGCAGTTGATACATTCAATGTATTAGCAATGAATTCACCGCATATCTATAAAACGATCAATTATTTGAATGTAAAAAGTACACATTGTTTTCTTCTAGGAAAAAACAGAACTATTAGACATACAGACAGAACAAATAATTAAAATTAGAATACAGTGGCACAGCAAGCCTACTTCTTAAGTCTTGCTATGCAAGTTTCTTTTGTTCACTAACTGTTAAAATACAAAATATTTCCAATAAAATGAAGAATAGAGGCAATGTTTTGAAATCTATGTGCGCATGACTAAAACAAGAGGCTGGTTATGACGTTGTCTGTTTGCACATACTTTTTGCAATTCATCTAACGAGTATTCAAAGGCACAAGAAAGAACATCAATAACCTAAAGATAAGATCAATAAAAGTGAAAGTGGCCATGTAAAACAAACATTTAGCACAATAACTAACATTCTCCTCATTCAGTGTACAACAGTTGGTGTACAGGAATTCCAACAAACAAAGAAATGTAGTAGGTGAAGTGTCTGCCAAAATGATTGAATTTTCCAAACAAGCTGAGTGAAGACCATCTTCATTTTCAAACATGGCCTTAAAAACCTGTGACCTGAATAATATACAGCAATAAGTAATAATCATTTGTTTCAAATTGATCCAATTACAGATGGTATGAAAGTGATGTTTACATGGCCATGAAACAATTAATGATATTTGTAGAATTAACATGCAATTGTTAGGCAAAATGTTTATTTACCGAGCAGAAAGAATACAGCTGTTTCCAAATATCTGTGTTCTTGATGGCCCAACAATAAATTTTACATTGCTAAAATGAACAGGTGTTTCAACTATTACGTACATTATTTCAAAACCTGTAACTACCATCTAAGATACCATACCAGTGAAAGTAGAAAAAGTAGATACCAGTAACCAATTAATGATACAATACTATTAATGGCAAAACCTTAGTTACTATCTCAAGATACAATACTAGTAATAGTAAAACCAGCAGTTACTATCAAAAGATATGATACATACTAGTAATGGTAACCAACAGGTACCAACTAATGATACAATGCTATGATAAAACCAGCAAGTACCATCTAACACCTATCACAATACACACAAAAAACAAACCTACACACAATAAACAAACCCCAAGGCAAGTAAAAAGCAAATTTTATTGTATGAGGGAAAAGTAGACAAACTCACTCAAAGCTACAAAGCTAAAAAAATCAAATTAAACCTTATTTTTAGAAAATGCGACACATATTGTAGTACATAAATGATGGTATAATGGTATGAATATTGCTCAAACACTTGAAAAACTATCAATGCAACAAACAATTAAATATCAAGAAACACTGACTTGTTACAAGTTACTGCACAAATATATTTAGCTTTGAGTTATAACTTTCAAAAAACTCCAGGATAAAATACCTAAATTATCGTCAGTACTGTAGATGACTTAATTGTTTCGCTACATTTTACTCGCAGCCAGATTAATCCCAAGAGATGTTTAAGATTGTTGCTAGCGTTGTTCACAAAGCATTCGACCAAAATCTGGCTGCCAGCTAAACGTAAACAAGACAAGTCATCTACAGTACCGACGAAATAATTTACGTGTTTTATCCCAGCATTTTTTGAAAATTATGATCTGCAAATTGCTGTAAAATATAAAAGCAAAATGCTGGAACTTATAGAACACGTCGATCACTAAAGTAAAACTAAACCTGAATTCTTTCTTGTTGATCATTTTTCTCATATCATTGGCGAATGCCCAAGGACTTCCAGGTAAAGAACGTCCATTCATATCAACAGACAAAATAGGTGATACTTTCATTGTATTGTAAAATCATTAATATGTGTAGTAATGAATCTACCTGGATATACCATTTGACCACCACAGCAACAAGCAAGGTAAAGTTGTGTTGTGGTAACCAGAGTTAGTGCTTGGTAGGCTTTTGCGCATGCCCAAAGCCAAATGACCGTTCAAAAGGCCAATTAAATCAAAATAATTAAGCAAAAATTATACAGCAATAATTTGTTAAAAAGCCAGAAAAGAGCCAAATCTTACAATAATTTTCAACATGTTATAATAAGAAAACTCCCATGTCCAAGGGCATCCGGCATTGTATTGATCACACGGATATGGGGTGAGAATATGGGAATGAATGCACGGGCTTCGCCTCATCTCCAGGTTTTCTCTCGTTTTCCGTTGTTTTTGCCACACATTAAACCCATAATTAGAACCACTATATTAGAGCAGAGTAAGAGAAAGTGCAGGGGAACGAGGCGAACATGCGACGCGCCTTCGAGAGAACCAACAATTTTACAAGTGGCTGAAGTTTTTGAGTTGCAGTATGTAATAAGTGAGAAAAGCAGCAACGGATATCTCTATTTCTAAACTATCACCATTTTTCATAGTTTCATTCGAAAAAGCGATGAAAAAAGCTACATATTAACACATTGAAAGTTTCTACAAAAACAGTCATTGATAATTACAATAAACGCGTTACCCTCCGCTATACCTGCTCTCCTATTTCTAACTTTATCATTGAAAGAAAAAATATCTTTCCGTAAAACTAGTTTCATAGTTTCATAAATTTTGACGGGTGCTTATGAGAAGTTCTTTCTCAGAACCACAATTCGCGTACATACACCAACACAGGTGGTTAAAGCTGCAAGAACACCAGAGATCCATGCATACGTCCTTTACCAAGCAGGCCAGATAATAATATTTGAAAATCAACCTCCCGTGACAGGAAAAACAGAACAATACCTACGTATCTTGTTCACTGAAAAACTTTTCAACTTGTAATTGATAAATTCATTACAACTATTACATATACCCATACCCTATTCCCTAAAATAAAGTTATCTCTAACACAACGTTTCTTTATTATGAATCCATCATAATTATTTCATCCTTTATGTCCTTGTAAGAAGCTAAGAAAAAATCTTTAAGCACAATAGTTTTTATGTAGTTATCTCTGGTACAATATACTATTTTACTATGTACGAAACATCCATCATAGCTGTTACATGCTTTAGTTACCTCCAAACATAAGGAAACTTTTACAAAAAGTATTTATGATGAATGACTCCTAGTAAAACCTAAATGAAATTCATTGACTGTTACGTAAGTCACCATCCAATTAAAAACCAAAGTCTTATCCGAACTTTCATAATTCTATACACACGAAAAAGTTGTGTGAAAATTATGCATCAACATACCCAACCTTAAACGCAATGCGAAATTGCTTACGTCATACTAATTATGCGCATGCCTGAAATTATTCCACGATAATAATAACTCAACGGACTAAACGGCTAAAGGATTCTAAACTCGCTTTTTATTTTTGCTAGATTTTCCTTTTCCTGTTCTTCGTTTCTTCTCATTGTTGCGAGCTTTATTTTGACTGTTGCAAGTCGTGCGTTTGTCGTCAAAAATGTTCTCCCTAAAACAATAGCAGCTTAGGCTATATCAATTATTTCAACAGTATACTAAAACATTAATCCATTGTAACTCAACCTATCTATACCAAGATCCTAAGATCCTCTCAAGACATCACTTTGGTAATTAAGATATTACATTGCTATCGCAACAATGCATTAGTAATTAGGACATTACATTAAACATCACAACCCCTTATATTGGGAAATTACGAGATTACATTGGTAATTACATTACATTGGTGATTGAAGCATTGCATAACCCTAAACACTAAACACCCTTACCAAGGTGGACGTTGTTCTGATGTGACTGACACATATACACGGTGAGCATTTGGGGGAAGTTTGAGTAATCCCTAAAAATAAACAAAACATGATATGACTTGATTACGCTTCCACATGAAAAGATAGTACTTAATATTATTGAATAGTTTGTACATGACAAGCGCCCCATTCCGTGACTTCGTACACCACACCATCTTTACATACATAGCAGAAGTACTTAAATCCAAAATAACTAGTTTCAACCCAAACGTCACCCTAGACAGAAAGGTGTAGTAAAAAAAGATTCAGAAAAATTGTCAGCAATTATAAACCACGATGATATTATTACAGGCGAGTAAAATTGTTTTATAAACAGGATAACTCAACTGACCTCTTTAGCTGGATGTCTTTCATTGCATTTTGCGCAGTATCGCGCAGCAAATACAGAGCGATTTGTGGCTACTCGTGGGTGAAAACCATGACAAGCACTACACATCACATTGTTCTTCACCTAATGTTATAAAATAAAAACAATACAACGCATGCGCTGATTGGTCTACAGCTGAGTTTGCATTAATGAAAACCGATCTGAGCTCAACCAATTAGGTAAATCAAAGAGATTTTGTAAATCAATCATGAATACGTGTTAGACGAAAAACTAAAACGTTTATTTTGAGTTTATCTGTTTCTCATTATTGCTTTTTTATAAAAGAAATAAAAGATGTTTTTCGTGCTTACACTGTCTTATGCAAACCTCCGAGACTTTTGGGAGAACTCTGGAGCAGGTGCAATGATCAGCTCTCGAGTTCTCTCAAAGCTCTCCTCCGTTTGCATAAGCCTTTGTAAACACAATAAACATCTTCTATTTCTTAATAAATAATTATTTTGACATTAAGTTAATACGGGGAGGAGCTTAAGGAACGATCACCGTGGATACGTTTTACTACACGAACCTTATCCATAAAATGATGAAAGAATTTCTCCATTTCTTCCTAAAACATAGTTTGTCATAGACAAGATTTGTAACAAAAAATTCAAATATTCATACAAAAAATATATTCTAATTCTAACGGTTAAAAATATGGCATTCATCATAACTAAGATAATAAAATATCCTTTACCAGTCGACAACTTTAAGAAATGAAGCACACTCCAAAATAAAACATCATTGAATCATGGTATGTAAAATAGAGAAAGGTAGAAAATATTAAAAAAAATGTTTTTAAGCAAATGTTTCGTTACCTCAACTTTTTCTCTTTGATTTGCACATTCATAAGCCTTTCGTTTTTCCTGCAATAATAAATTAAGTGGTAGATGATGTCAACATTCTCACGAAAAAGAACACGATCGAATATTTAAGTGCTCTAAGCTCCTCTTGAGATGAACAAAAAATAGCATATCAATAAAACATTTTCATTCACCTCATCACAAATGGCCTCAAAGGCGGTTTGCAATATCTGAAATGCTTCACCAGAGTCTTCATGAGTATTCTGTAAGTTCAATTAAATTGTCATCTTTAAAAATTCCAAATGTTAACTACAAGAACAAGTTCTGATTCAAAAAAGTGGCAACAAAATCATGATAGCTTCAGACATATTTAACTTAATTCGCAACATATTTAACCCAAAGGAAATGGACGGAAGCCACTAGGCCTAGCTATAAAGCAATTCCTTACTGCCTAGCTATAAAGCAATTCCTTACTGCCTAGCTATAAAGCAATTCCTTACTGCCTAGCTATAAAGCAATTCCTTACTGCCTAGCTATAAAGCAATTCCTTACTGCCTAGCTATAAAGCAATTCCTTACTGCCTAGCTATAAAGCAATTCCTTACTGCCTAGCTATAAAGCAATTCCTTACTGCCTAGCTATAAAGCAATTCCTTACAGCCTAGCTATAAAGCAATTCCTTACTGCCTAACTATATGCATCACCATAACCATATGTAAGATATATACTTTATCTGGATGGACCATCTTCGCCATGTCTCTATACTTTCGCTTTATTTCTTCGTCGGTAGACATGGACGACACGCCAAGGACTCTATATATCAATGAAAAAATTTAGTTAAACTTTGAAATTAGCATGTTGCGCAAAAATAAGTAATTTTATAATCTTACTGATATGCATTGAGATCACGCGAAGAGAGGAGTTTGGAAACTAATTCATCAGCTGAAGTCAAAACGATTTTATGTAAATAAAATATACAAGTTGGAGAACAAAACAAACTTCGAAAAAACCACAGTAATACTGCTCTCTAGAACTTTTAGCACACTTCAATACTTACACAAAAAAATTCACAAGATTATACAATAGTAATATTTTCCCGAGCAGAAATATCAAAATTTCATTAATAACCTCCTTGAGGAGTCGAATGGGTGCTTTCATGAAAGTTTCGACGTTTTGCCTGCTGGTCAGTAGAAGTATTTGGAATGTTTGGTTGTTTCTTGAAAATCATACATCGCAACAAGGAAAATGTCTTTCCAGCACAGCTCTTCACAATCGTCCACATGCTGGCGGTATAAAATGAGAAGTTCTAGATGTGATATCATCCAACAAGGCGGATATATTTTGCAAACAGAACCAGAAAGTTAGAGCGGCAAAGCAAACGACATTACACTTAAATAGCTACTGGACAAACATAGGCTGAAAAAATATTCTAACAGATAATTTTGCATGTTAAAATGGGATATAGTCATACGGGCATCAAAAGATGATTGTAAAGAAGAATTTTCAAAGATATTTGTCTTAATAGATGTTTGTGACACTACTACCAAATATAGATTAATGCAACTGAGATCAGATAAACTGTTCTATGTATAGCTATGATCAGGGGCTCCGGAAGATTTTGAAAACTGAGAGTGTCCAAACTTTTTAATTATATGTTCTCTCTGAAGAACAACATTTTTTCCGATTTTAACAACAATTTTTCACCAATATGTATTAATCAAAATAACCTTGTTTTTTCATACTATACGCGAAATCCATCTTAAATGGTACCAGGGAATAGGAATATCGTGGATTAACTCACACAGCTCTTTTTTACATTCTATAAATGATCACAAAATGTTTCTGTCGCTATTCATTGCAAACAAATGCCTTGCAAAATGCATCAATGTCTAATGCATAAAGCATATCTTTGTAAGCTTGGCAATGAAATTTATTATGGAGATCTAGTTTACCAAAAAACCAGCTGGAAAACACCATTAATACTTTGAAAAATTTGCAAATTTGGCGGGTGTACTACTTACAAAGGACACCCGCTGTCCGAAAACCTCGGGTGTCCGGACACCCGCTACCTCCAGAGCCCCTGGCTATGATATATACATAATGTCCACTGATTACCTACCGCAACATCAACATGAGAAAAAGTACGATGATTAATCGTAGAATATAAGACATCATAGACCATGCCACGCTGAAGTAGTGAGGAAAATTTGACAGCGCAGAGAGAACACCTATAGAAAAGAAAAACATGAAGGTATCAGGAACTTGAAGAGAAAGTAGGTATCGCGAAATACTATATATTTAACACTACATATTTTTAATAGTGTATATTGAGTCAATTTTTACTTATTTTGACTTGAGATTATTTAAATGCATTATCCTTTGCCCTCTGTTCAAAATTATTACCATTTGAGTAATTTTCCTGCTAGCCCCTTACCCAAACCCCCGCACCCTTGTTTCGTCACAACATTTATCCTTCACATACCGCTTTTCACGAGGCCAAGAAAAACCAAGAACTTCTCCTCAAATCTTGCCATCGATGCATTTACGTCACGTGACACGCAATGTTCGTGTGACTGTGTAGGACGTGGTATTCGTTTTGATTCTTTTGAAGCTCGGGATTTCTTCGGTTTATTTCGCCTGCTGCCCGCAACGCGTCTGGGTAATTTAGCATCATTCACACCATCATCATTTTTGTTCGTATTCTTCGGAATGTATGATGAAGCTTTGTCTTCCTTAACTTCAGCATTTTTGTCATTATTTTTTACCGAAGGTTCATTAGTATTAAATTTTTTTTCTGTCGCACATGTATCTTCACACAGATAATCCTCCATTGTTTCTTTATTCATTCCTCCACTGCCCCGCGAAAGTTTTTCTTCTTTTCGTAAGTGCAAGTTCTGATCTTTCTTATTCTCTCCCCAATAGTTATTTTCAATATTGCTTATAAAACTTGAGGTAGATAAACGAGACTTTCTCTTGTGAAGTGGTTCATCTAGGCATACTTCGTCGGCAAATAATTTATCTCCATCTTCCTCCAAATTTGTACTTTTTTCTTTCATCTTCAAGCGATCATTGTTTCTATCACAATGTTCACTACTTCCAGAGCCTTTAAATAATTTTTCTTCATCAATGTTTGGGTACGCTGTATCATGTCCAGTCGTGGCATTACTTTCATGACAACGAGCACCCAACTCCTGAAGTTTATGAGAATTATCATGGCGTTGATGTGAATACACTTGTTCCACTGATTTTGCTTTATTGTCTTTAATGCCAGACGAAAACGTGGCCTGCGTAAAACCACGTTTGTTTGGACTTTCATTAATCAAAATGTCACCACATCCATGCATGTCCCCACTTGATGACTCAACTGTTCTACCCATTTGTCTTGGCTTACAAATATTGGAAAAATGTCCTGTATCCATAGATATCCCCAAGTGATTACTATCATGAAAAGATGACGAGGGCAAGTTTCTTGTGATGGGATGATTCGAAAAATTCTCCTTTAATGTTTTTTTATTTTTTGTATTATAACCTTTGAAACTATCATTAAATGAGCTAGCCTTAGAGTACGAATCGTTGTTATATGTTTTGCTTTGATTTTTTTTCATTTTGATTTGGAAGTCTTGGATGATATTTTCTTTTCCTTCATGGAAGTATATTGTCTTTTGATTAAGTTGTCCTTCATTGAATTTTAGTGTTGTTATTTTGAGTTCCCAAGCTATCTTACAACACATCGATGAAGTTATTTGAATTCTGCATCACTTATGTATTTGCTAAACCATCAAAAGAATAGTTAATAGAAGATATTTTACCACTCACATATTTCATTTATTAGTATAGTAACTACAAATGTTTGAAATAACACCACACACATTTGAAATAACACCACACACATTTGAAATAACACCAAACACATTTGAAATAACACCACACACATTTGAAATAACACCACACACATTTGAAATAACACCACACACATTTGAAATAACACTACACACATTTGAAATAACACCACACACATTTGAAATAACACCACACACATTTGAAATAACACTACACACATTTGAAATAACACCACACACATTTGAAATAACACTACACACATTTGAAATAACACCACACACATTTGAAATAACACCACACACATTTGAAATAACACCAAACACATTTGAAATAACACCACACACATTTGAAATAACACCACACATTTGAAATAACACCACACACATTTAAAATAACACCACACATTTGAAATAACACCACACACATTTGAAATAACACCACACACATTTGAAATAACACCACACACATTTGAAATAACACCACACACATTTGAAATAACACCACACACATTTGAAATAACACCACACACATTTCCACATGACAAATATTTCTCACATGTTACCACACATACTTCACATGACACCGCACACATATTCACATGACACCGCACACATATTTCACATGTCACTGCACACATATTTCACATGTTACCACACATAATTCACATGATACCGCACACATATTTCACATGACACCACACATATTTCACATGTTACCACACATAATTCACATGACACCACACACATATTTCACATGTTAACACACATATTTCACATGACACCACACACATATTTTACATGTCACCATGGATATTTGTCACCACATATATATTTGATGGCACCACACATTTCTATTGACTTTAAATCCTAAAGTCTGGCTTGCTAGTTGCTACTTACAAGTCTGCATTGTCATGCAAATATTACTTTTTATTGACTCTGATCAAATGAAACAAACAGTTTTGTTGACAGTTTGTATCAAATCAATCAAATCTGCATCATATCTGGCTTTTAATAACTAATAATGCTAAAACAAAATCAGGACCTCATTTTGAATAATCTTGAAGCTTTGCATGCAAATGTGTTACAAACAATATCTCTTTCTTATCAAGCAAACATGTTAGCAGGATGAACAATTTACAGAAATTTGATAGATGACAATGCTCAGACAAAATTCCTGAAGTTAACAAACCTTTATTACTTGGCAAAATCACAAAATTACCTTACCTTTACAGGTTTTAGAACAAAATCATTAAAACCAACCCAGAAAATTTCAAATGCTTTTGCGTAACGTTCATCTAAACCTTGTCATCAAATCACTCGAACGTGTTTGTCAAACGTGACTCTTGACTTCACCATGAAGATAGATGATCGCAGTTTGTGATTTTCTGTCGGGAATCAAATTAAAAAGGGGAAAAAACTTTAAAAAATTATTAAAAATCAAATAAGGAAAAGTGAAACTTTACAATACAGATATTAAACGAAAGTGTAATTCGATAGTATATTTGACGTGTTCGTACTTCGTCAACAATTATGTACAAATTATAGTTGGAAAGTAAGAAATAACTGAATAACAATAGTTTCCACAATTTAACTTCCTTTACAACGTTCTGACTACCTTTTCCCAGCAATTCGAGAGTCTTATTCCATTATTCCATTCAATAATTCTATGTCATGGGGAACATTGCTGTAATTTCAGCCCATTTCAGCCATTCGATAATTCCCTATTAATTCTAATTTTCGTGAAAAAAACGCGATATTAAAGTCGCGTGAAGAAATCCCTCGAGATTTACATGCGCAAAATCAAAGTCAAATTTATTCGAGACGACGCGATCTAGATCATTATTGTCATATCCAATAATCCAAAAATTCAGTGTAATACAACTCGGATATTTTATAATTCAATGTCTCAAAATCACGCTTGCTTTGAAAACAGTTGAGATAAACGTGGCTTCACTAAAGCTTGAAAACATTCTTTTGATTTCGAAGTATTTGGAAAATGAAACTTATCTTATGCTTCCCTCAATCAGCAGTCCCCTGGTCAGCAGTCTTTTTCATTTATTACAAGTCGAAGCGTAGAAAGCTAATATGTGTGTACATTACATCCTGTCTCTTGTTCTTACGCCTTTTGCACCAAATATGAACTATGTATTTTTCACTTTCTCTATTCCCTTCGGCATATCCACAAGTTTAACGTCTGTCTTATCAATAGTAACTCTTCAAGAGTACTTGGAATTCGCACTAAAAGCGCAAATGCGTTTGGCAATGGCAGTAGAGTAATTTCATTGATTTTTCCAGTACTTTTCAATTTTTAATCATGTCGGTTTTCAACACACGTTATTAATTTTGTTCGGCCTATGTCCATTGTTTTTGTTGTATTAAAATCGCTGGTCGACATAACGTCCCATCCAAGACGTCACTGCATTGTTTGCAGCCTTTCTCCTCTTTCACAGCACACGCGTAAAAATGCTTAAATCCAAGCGTAGCTAGACATGAACTTTTTTGGGGGTGCGTGGGGGCATGCTTCAGTGAACACCAAAAGCGCAAGCCTTTCTCATATTATAAAATCAAAAAAATGAAACACCTGTCTTGATTGGTCTATATATAGCTGAGTCTGCATCAGCTCGAGCAAACCCATCTGAGCTCAATCAATTAAACCAATCAAAGAGAATTTTCAAATCAATCAAGAATACATGTCACAGAAAAATTAATATTTCTTTTAAATTTGTCTGTTGTACGGGTTTTCAACATCTTGGGTTAATAAAATGCAATATTTAATTATCATCACTTCATGAAGACACTGAAGACTTCATCTTTTACAGTAGGAATCATTTGACCAAATTATGACCATCGTAGACTCCTTTGTCACTATATCTTGCATAACACGTTCGGTCACTGTTACATCATTAAATAATGCTAACGTTTGACAAAATTGACATAAATAACTTTTCGTGGCAGCATTTCAATGATACAATAATATACATGTATATAAATTTTAAATGAATGATTATAAAGTGAAGGAAATATTTATAAAAAAAGTTGAGAAAGACGAAAGTTTACAACAGGCAAAAAGCAATAAAAATCAACAAGCTCAAAAGGACGTTTAAGTTTTGAACAACTGTTGCAGTGTTGTTATCTCCTTTCTTATCGCATGTAGTTTTACTGACGCCACAAGATGGAAAATCCCTTGGTGCGGGTGGAAGATCAGTTTGCTCTCCAACGTGAACAATCATGGACATACCAAGCTGTGAATAATATACAGACACACTTCATGAAAAATATAGATAGAACAACTGTGTATATTTATGATTAGAATTGCTTTCGTGTAATGCATGCATTATTTAATTGGCCTTTGCTTTTATTGAAATGCATCTAAAAATTCCACACACATATCCATACAATCACTGCCGACGACAGTATAACAATATATATGCCTTGAGTTTATTCTAACCTCAATATGGAATTCAACATGACAATGAAAAAGCCACCATCCTGGATTATTGGTATAAAATCTGATAATTGTGTATCCACCATCGGGTACTGTGACAGAGTCTTTTTTAGGAGCTTTGTCAAGTTTACGGTGAATTTTACCTTCATGAAGCAAAAGGAAAGAAGAGATGCTGTACACATGTAAATATCATATTAAATGCACTGGATGTAAGTTCCTCCTTCTGTTCTTATTGCAGACTCTTCAAAACTGGCATAATTCTTATCGAGCACCTAGCAGAAACGTTAGACGGTGATGCATGTTTACAACATTGCATCATCGTATCAGCTAAACAACTGAATTTATCTGAGTTAACTGCAATCAATCAACTAGCAAGAACAATACCATTTTTATCCATTTCTTTGACTTCAGTAACTGTGGTAGATTCGTTAATTTTTTTTACTGCAACGACACGAAATGGATGCCCGTGAAGATGCATTGGATGATTGGCATTAAAGGTTTTACCTTCATCAACAATTACAAATTCTATAACCTAAATAAAAAACGTACATTGACAAATAATGGCCATATTAAAGAAACTCATGACGTCACATTGACAGTGCCTTAATATATATCACTGGAGTAAAGCCAGTAAACAGAAAATACAACTGATGGTCTGATGATAACAATATTGTTCAATATGAAAACATATTGCAAAGCTTTCATAATAATTTATATCTTTCTTTATGGAAATTTTTACGCATACTTTCATAAACTACGAAATATTTCCTAATATTTTTACCTGTCCAATTTTAGCATGAATAACGTGTGTACATTCGCAGAAGTTTTGAGTACAGTTGTAACCTTCTATATCTTTCGGTGTACAAAAATCAGTTCCTTTGGCAATGACATCATCATATTGACTCAAAGGAGGAACAGAAGGCAGTACGAATGAAACACCATTTAGTTGTGGTGAATAAGTTGGATGGAAGTCACTTAATGGATAATAGTCCTTATGAAAAAAATTAGTGTTGTCGACTTTGTTAAAGTCCATTCCAATAAAATATGTTTTGTCTGCATTTCCAGATGTCTCGTCGTTTGACTCTAAAAACACCGTGATCCAGTCATAACTATATATACAATTAAACTTTACGTTTTAAATTATACTAAACGTTTTTTAAGAAGACTTTTACTATTGCAACTTTTACCTAAAGAATCCATAAGATAAATAGGTATGTTAAGCTCTGATTGTTTCGTATTCCATGGATTCAAAGTCAATCCCTGTCGATCCCATGTTCCTCCTTCCATTGGATCTTTGTCCAGCGCACCTTTGTAACGTAGAATTGCAAGCTCTCGCGCCTATTCACAAAGAAAATAACAGGAGATTTTGTGAAAGAATCGTTAATATAAAGAATAACCAATTGAGTGAGCGTGCAGATAAAGTGGTAAGGAAACCATTTGTTCACATTCTTTAGTTTACTGTAGTGCTAGCAAAGTTTTCAGGAGAAGACACAAATCTCACAAAATTATGGTATAAATGGAGACTAAATTCCGCAAAATATTTGGGCAAGGAGGTTTGATACGAGTGACTTCTTCTCCCATTGTGCATCATGCAAGAGAAACAGAAGATTAACGCTCTAAGATTATTCTATTTTACCTTTCCGCAGTTAGCCAGGCCTTTATATCTTATCCAGTAATTTCCAGTAGTTTGATTAGCATGGACAACAATATCAAAACGTTCTCCAGCAAAGACAGTAAGAATTTCTGTTTCAAAAGGTTTAAACGCCGAACCATCACTTGCAATAACTGTCATATTATGCGAGTCTATCGAAACTTTTATTGGACAATTTGCAATAGCGTTACTCACAATTCGAAATCGATATCTAAAAAAAATGTTGTCTGATGTGAACTAATGATAAAAATTTTAAAAATAATCTGTATAAAAAGTGTAAGAAGATTGACTCATAAAGTTATCAAGCAGGGGATTAAGAAGCTTTTAAAAGTTGTTGGTGTTTCATGCTTACTATGGAATAATTGGTAACAGACGAAACTTGTAATTAAACTAATTGCTTTTAGTAATTTTTGATCAAGCTCTCCTTCAAATGCATTATATAAAAACAGACATCTATTGCCTCCCAAGCTGTTGGTTGTAAACTTTTCTACCTGTATCCTTTCTCCACATGGAACACTTCCCGATCAGTGTATATGGTGTCATTGGTGTCCTGACGCTCGTATTTCTGGCGCTGCCCTTTACCATTAACAAGAAGAGATTCTGCTTTGCTGTTACCATTGCTATGGATATGTGCAATGTACTTGTCAAGCATAGGAATGTCTAGCCAATCAGTGAGCAACATTTTATGCTCAGCCAAATCGTGATCGTAAGTATGATTATTTTTTTCTATCACTCGCGGTTGTCTAATGGTGAGAGCGCCAAATATTCCATCTGCCCTCTGTAAACCAGCATGAGCGTGCCAAAAATGAGTTCCTGGATTCGACGCTGTACGTAAATTTATAAATAGAAATGTATGAAGAACTTTTCAGCTATTGTTTTAATATAAAATTAAAGAGAAAACTATTATAAAGCTCGGTTCTTTGATATAAGAAAGACAATTTTTTGTACAAGCTATACCTGTAAAATTGTAAGTAAAACTATCTCCAGCTGGAATTGGACATTGAGTAAGCATACTCACGCCATCCATGTATTGTTCACCCTTTAAATGTAAGCCATGCCAGTGAATACTGGTACCTTCGCTGTTCCTTAAATGATTTGTCACTTTCACAATGATTTTATCACGTTCACAAACCTGACAAAACAAAACATAAACTTAAATGAAGTTATCTTTTAAGCAATAAAATACATCAATGAGTTTAGCAATAAACTATCAGCCCATAAAATACACGACAGACAGGATGAACCATAATCAAAATGATCAATTATGTCTATATGGACGGTCGAATCCAGCCTTCTTTTGCCAACGTCTTTACGTTATAGGATTTTCTTTTCACTTTTAACCAAAATTGTCTAAGAGTACAAATATAGCTACAGATTTGAGTTAATCAGAATGACTTTTATGTTCACCTCGATACTTGGCCCAGGGAAAAGTCTGTTCACAGTCATGATGGATCTTTTAACACCATTTAGTGGTATACAGTGTGGTAAGAGACATTCAGTTTTGTTTAAAGGACAATTGAAACACGCACGAGAAAGTACGTAATATGATTCAATTTTAAAATCGTACTTGCACTCTTTTGGTTCTGGTGGATACGGACATGGACGATGGCATGGATGTCTTTCATTCTCTGAAATAAATATTGTAAAACATTGATCCGAAACGATAGTATTTATAAAAACAGTTCATCATGCTACAAGAAAGAAACACCAACGTCCAACGGCAATAAACAAAAAGTGAAGTCATCTATTCAACTCTAATCAATAAAAACTATAAGGTAAAAAATATATTAGACAAGTCTTTATCACATCATAATTTAGTCTTTACATCAAGACTTTAGCAAGGCCAATCGTAACATTTTTTATTTTCCAGATGTACCGTTTCAATGACATGTTGCATATTGCAAAGTTTGTGGAATTAACGAGTAATTCAAATCAAACTGTTAATGTTGTATTGCAAACCTGTCACTTTCATATTCACAAAACGTGTTTGATCAAAACATGATTACTAACCGGCAGAAGATCCTGCAAATGCCATAACCAAATAAAGTCCAGAAAAGGACAAAAAAAAATCCAGCTGCTTCATCATCAATCTTTATGCAATCTTCAAGTTCGATCTATCACGGTCAGTTAGGGTCAATCTAAATTGTGATTTGATTGACAAAACGCAGTGAAAAATCAGAACTTTAGCATATGGCCTATCTTCCCCCTATCTTTATATCATTATAGATATCGACTTACCAAACATTTGAAAGAAGTCATTTAAAATAAATTTTTTTGGTAACTATTCCAATCACTCGTGCATACATTTTTTTGTGGGTGCTATGAACACACACGTTCGCATTTTGTTTAAAAGTAATTTTTTAAAATCATAAATTCTTAAAATCAGTTTTTTGATAAAACAAGTCTACAATGTGTTATTTTTTTCAATGTGGATATGTGTCAATTAATGAGACGGCATTCGCCAACTATAGCACTTTGTTGGCTGGAAATTCATGCTATAGAATGCTCATTTCGTTTTGGCAAGCTAAATTATTTTAACACCCACAAAGTTACAAAGTATAGAAAAATAATGGAATTTATCAATAGCGGTATTTTCTTCAATAAGTCAAAGAAGCTTCCCTGCTAAGTTTATTATTAATTAAACTTTCACAAATAGAAAGTTATGCGTGCTTTCAATTTGCGATATTGTTGTGCGATGTTATAAGTCTCATCTTTATTATTAGTTAATGTATCAAACATTTTAACATTTGTGATATAGTTTTCATAATGAAGAACAATATCTCCGTTTTACTTTGGCTTATTCCGGAAATTGATAAGTACTTTAATTTAGAAAAGCATTCAACGACAGTTACGACACAGAAAAACAATAACACTAAATTGCTCAAGAAGTCATTAATTTTTAAGAAATGAACATTCTACGACATAATGTAAAATAAGACTATAGCTTTCTCTAGCTTTAGAAGTCTACAGCTTTTCCTTGAAATACACAAAATAAATGCTTACAGTTATAAAGCATCCACGTAACTAAGTAAACTGACATGCACAAAACTATCCATTCTAAAGCACGTTATATCATAGATATTTTAGAGTTTTAATTAATTACATACAAAGTCATGCTTGCTTGGAAAAAAAACTCTAAAAAATTAATTCTGTCACATATAGCAAGTATAAGATCAAATTAATCATGCTGACATATCACACTAAAAATGAACGACAACAACTGCCGTACACACAGTAGCACAGAATAAAATAAATAGCTCCATTACCTTGGTTGTGGAGAAATTTGATAAAACCTAATGTTGACACCAAATTAAGGAAGCTTCTGCCATACAAAGACGCCTTTCTATACTGAACACGTCCTATATACATACCAACTTAGTTGATTTATCAATAAGCTGTATTATGTCATAAAGTATGACATCTTCCTTGTTCACCAGCTGAGATACTATTTAATGCATCGTTTACTTTCATCAGAAAGAAGACAAAGAAATATGGCTCGAAGTACATTCGAGTCCATTGTCTAATGTATTTTTCTTATTTTTTACAGCCAGTAATCAAGGAATCAGTGATGACCGATCAAGTTTATGAAGTAGAAATGTAGTAATTTATTGAAAAATTGTAACTTTAGAGTTTGGTGGTTCCACCTTTGCCAAGTAAATAATTACAAGCATGCATCTCATTGAACTGAATTGTGAATAATCACGTGGAAAGCCGACTGTGAAAAACGTGACGAGAAGTGAAAGTGTGTTTGTGTGGATATTAGCTTGCAGTAAATTCTGGTGTGCTTATAACAATGACATGTATAGTGGGACTAGTCCAGCCAAATTTGTAGGTTAAAAATACTCCATGGCTTTTTTTTCCATTTTTGCATTTGAGTTTTTCTACACCACTCAACAAAACATAGGTGCCATTGCATACACTATCGATTGTTCTCTTTCACCCGACCTGAATGCAGTTTTATACCACACAAGGGAGACAAGGGGTTCAGCCAAAATAACAAGGAAAATTGCCATCGAGAGACTTTTGACTTAGAAATTTTGCAAGTAAAGGAGCCCTCAACCCCTTTAAAAATGCTCACTTCTTCGGCGTTCGAAAGAATGCCCCCAAAAAATAAAAGTTCATGTCTGGCTGCGTCGTTGTTGTAAGTTCAAAACTCTACTGGTGAATGTAAACAGTTATGGCAGATATTTCCATTCGGTGAAAGTAGCGGTAAAAATATCACACACAATTTAATTCCCATCCAAATGAATTAAGATTCTTTAGCTGCTTTCATAGAGCAGTAGGGGATCCAGCGTTTGTCAAAATAAATTATAGCTTCTTAAATATAAATCTCTTTTTCAAAATCAATACAGACGTTGTAAACTATAGATTACAAAGATTACACTTTCGAAGATTACAAAATTTCTTTGTCGCAAGAAAAATGCAAGCACCATTTCTACAAGTTTGAAAATTTTTGCTATCCAATGGATAACGCTATCCAGGGCTCGTGCAACCGGCCCCAGTTTTGTAAGTAAACATCCTTTCTTCTTAAAATATTCTTTGGTTGGTATTTTAAATATTTTAGGTGGTATAGTCGTTGTATATGCCTTTCTACATCAAAGCATACACGTACTTTACGATACTTATATCAAGCTTTAGAGGACTTTTGCAAAATAAAAATTCCTACAAGCTCGTGTAAGAAGCCAGCAGAAAACAAAACCGTTGAAGCTTGCTTTTTGCTTGCTAGCAATGCAACATAAGTTTCAGTTTGATATTATATTACTAACTTGTAAGCCAACGACGTTGATTTTGTTTTTATAATTATATAATGCTAACGTTTGACAAAATTGACATAAATAACTTTTCGTGGCAGCATTTCAATGATACAATAATATACATGTATATAAATTTTAAATGAATGATTATAAAGTGAAGGAAATATTTATATAAAAAAGTTGAGAAAGACGAAAGTTTACAACAGGCAAAAAGCAATAAAAATCGACAAGCTCAAAAGGACGTTTAAGTTTTGAACAACTGTTGCAGTGTTGTTATCTCCTTTCTTATCGCATGTAGTTTTACTGACGCCACAAGATGGAAAATCCCTTGGTGCGGGTGGAAGATCAGTTTGCTCTCCAACGTGAACAATCATGGACATACCAAGCTGTGAATAATATACGGACACACTTCATGAAAAATATAGATAGAACAACTATGTATATTTATAATTAGAATTGCTTTCGTGTAATGCATGCATTATTTAATTGGACTTTGTTTTTATTGAAATGCATCTAAAAATTCCACACACATATCCATACAATCACTATCGATGACAGTATAACAATATATATGCTTTGAGTTTATTCTAACCTCAATATGGAATTCAACATGACAATGAAAAAGCCACCATCCTGGATTATTGGTATAAAATCTGATAATTGTGTATCCACCATCGGGTACTGTGACAGAGTCTTTTTTAGGAGCTTTGTCAAGTTTACGGTGAATTTTACCTTCATGAAGCAAAAGGAAAGAGGAGATGCTGTAAACATGTAAATATCATACTAAATGCACTGGATGTAAGTTTCTCCTTCTATTCTTATTGCAGACTCTTCAAAACTGGCATAATTCTTATCGAGCACCTAACAGAAACGTTAGACGGTGATGCATGTTTACAACATTGCATCATCGTATCAGCTAAACTACTGAATTTATCTGAGTTAACTGCAATCAATCAACTAGCAAGAACAATACCAGTTCGATCCATTTCTTTGACTTCAGTAACTGTGGTAGATTTGGCAATTTTTTTCACTGCAACGACACGAAATGGATGCCCGTGAAGATGCATTGGATGATTGGCATTAAAGGTTTTACCTTCATCAACAATTACAAATTCTATAACCTAAATAAAAAACGTACATTGACAAAAATAGCCATATTAAAGAAACTCATGACGTCACATTGACAGTGCCTCAATATAGATCACTGGAGTAAAGCCAGTGAGCAGAAAATAATCAAAGTACAACTGATGGTCTGCTGATAACAATATTGTTCAATATGAAAACATATTGCAAAGCTTTCATAATAATTTATATCTTTCTTTATGGAAATTTTTACGCTTACTTTCATAAACTACGAAATATTTCCTAATATTTTTACCTGTCCAATTTTAGCATGAATAACGTGTGTACATTCGCAGAAGTTTTGAGTACAGTTGTAACCTTCTATATCTTTCGGTGTGCAAAACTCAGTTCCTTTGGCAATGACATCATCATATTGACTCAAAGGAGGAACAGAAGGCAGTACGAATGAAACACCATTTAGTTGTGGTGAATAAGTATGATGGGAGCGTGGAACTACACTTAATGGATAATAGTCCTTATGAAAAAAATTAGTGTTGTCGACTTTGTTAAAGTCCATTCCAATAAAATATGTTTTGTCTGCTTGTCCAGATGTCTCGTCGTTTGACTCTAAAAACACCGTAATTCAGTCATAACTATATATACAATTAAACATGTTTTTTAAGAAGAATTTTACTATTGCAACTTTTACCTAAAGAATCCATACGATAAATAGGTATGTTAAGCTCTGATTGTTTCGTATTCCATGGATTCAAAGTCAATCCCTGTCGATCCCATGTTCCTCCTTCCATTGGATCTTTGTCCAGCGCACCTTTGTAACGTAGAATTGCAAGCTCTCGCGCCTATTCACAAAGAAAATCACATGAGATTTTGTGAAAGAATCGTTAATATAAGGAATAACCAATTGAGTAAGCGTGTTGAGCAGATAAAGAAGTAAGAAAAACATTTGTTCACATTCTTTAGTTTATTGTATTGCTAGCAAATTTTTCAGGGGAAAACACAAATCTCACAAAATTATGGTATAAATGGAGACTCAATTCCGCAAAATATTTGGGCAAGGATGTTTGATACGAGTGACTTCTTCTCCCATTGTGCATCATGCAAGAGAAACAGAAGATTAACGCTCTAAGATTATTCTATTTTACCTCTCCGCAGTTAGCTAGACCTTTATATCTTATCCAGTAATTTCCAATAGTTTGATTAGCATGGACAACAATATCAAAACGCTCTCCAGCAAAGACAGTAAGAATTTCTGTTTCAAAAGGTTTGAACGCAGAACCATCACTTGCAATAACTGTCATATTATGCGAGTCTATCGAGACTTTTATTGGACAATTTGCAATAGCGTTACTCACAATTCGAAATCGATATCTAAAAAAAATGTTTTCTGACGTGAACTAATGATAAAAATTTTAAAAATAATCTGTATAAAAAGTGTAAGAAGATTGACTCATAAAGTTATCAAGCAGGGGCTGAAGAAGCTTTTAGAAGTTGTTGGTGTTTCATGCTTACTATGGAATAATTGGTAACAGACAAAACTTGTAATTAAACTAATTGCTTTTAGTAATTTTTCATCAAGCTCTCCTTCAAATACATTATATAAAAACAGACATCTATTGCTTCCCAAGCTGTTGATTGTAAACTTTTCTACCTGTATCCTTTCTCCACATGGAACACCTCCCGATCGGTGTATATGGTGTCATTGGTATCCTGACGCTCGTATTTCTGGCGCTGCCCTTTACCATTAACAAGAAGAGATTCTGCTCTGTTATTACCATTGCTATGGATATGTGCAATATACTTATCAAGCATAGGAATGTCCAGCCAATCAGTGAGCAGCATTTTATGCTCAGCCAAATCGTGATCGTAAGTATAATTATTTTTTTCTATCACTCGAGGTTGTCTAATGGTGAGAGCGCCAAATATTCCATCTGCCCTCTGTAAACCAGCATGAGCGTGCCAATAATGAGTTCCTGCATTCGACGCTGTACGTAAATTTATTAATAGAAATGTATGAAGAACTTTTAAGCTATTGATTTAATATAAAATTAAAGAGCAAACTATTATAAAGCTCGATTCTTTGATATAAGAAAGACAATTTTTTGTACAAGCTATACCTGTGAAATTGTAAGTAAAACTATCTCCAGCTGGAATTGGACATTGAGTAAGCATACTCACGCCATCCATGTATTGTTCACCCTTTAAATGTAAGCCATGCCAGTGAATACTGGTACCTTCGCTGTTCCTTAAATAATTTGTCACTTTCACAATGATTTTATCGCGTTCACAAACCTGACAAAACAAAACATAAACTTAAATGAAGTTATCTTTTAAGCTATAAAATTCATGTATACATCAATGAGTTTAGCAATAAACTATTAGCCCGTAAAATACATGACAGACAGGATGAACCATAATCAAAATGATCAATTATGTCTCTATGGACGGTCGAATCCAGCCTTCTTTTGCTCACGTCTTTGCGTTACAGGATTTTCTTTTCACTTTTAACCAAAATTGTCTAAGAGTACAATTATAGTTACAGATTTGAATTAATCAGAATGACTTTTATGTTCACCTCGATACTCGGCCCAGGGAAAAGTCTGTTCACAGTCA